CTGAGCTGTACGAGCTGACGACGGCCAAGCTGGACCCGGGCGGCTCTGGCAGCCGGGTGGCCGACGCCTTCGCCCGCCTCATGTCCACCATGGAAAAGACCAGCACCTCCACAAGGTCAGGGGTCAGAGGGGGGTCAGGGGTCAGCAGCTGTTTTTACCTCAGACTGTAGAGGTCATGTGGTCGTCATGACGCTCACCTGTTGCTTCAGTTTCTTTATTAAATCATTGGAGTCAAAACAGACATGAAGCGAAAAGTCGACACAGCTGATGATTGAAACAATACACAAGAGTTTCATATGTGACAGAGTCAGGTGTGTGTGAGAGGTCAGGTGTGTGTGAGAGGTAGTGGGGGTGAGAGAGGGGGGGGGGGGGGGGGGGTCACACTCGTACAAAGAGGATGATCTGCTTTCTACCGAGGTCGCAGAGGAAACGTTCTCCCACGTACGCGTCCGTCAGCTCGGGGAAAGTTTAACAGGCCTGCGTCAACACGTGGTGCGAGCTTGGTGTGGGAAAAAAAAGCCTCAATAAAAGGGGAAGAATAGGGTTGATTAAGACGCTTTAACGCCAACCACAGACTCCTTTCGTTCCTGTTTTAACTCCACACACCCTGAGACCATGAATGAAGAGCAGGAAGCGGGGCACCTTTTCCTCACCCGAGTCCTGATCCAAAGCCAGACCTGGAGAAAAAAAAAAATCAGGTCCTTCCTTTCATCTGAGAAATGGGTTTCAACACTCAGCCGGCTAACAATATAACGCCTCATATTGCTTTACAAGTTGAGGTTAGTTTAGTAGGTCAGAGTCTGTAAAAGAGAAAGAGAGAGAGAGAGAGAGAGAGAGAGAGAGAGAGAGAGAAAGAGCAGGCTTTGTGCTGCAGGTTGAGCATAAACAATGTACTGGAGTAAGAAAATGACTCTTTTAGCAGTTTATTTTTCCGCAGATACAACGAGGTTACGAAGGTGAAACAGCCACCAGACGCTCACCGTCTCCCATCTTCACCCTCTAACAAGTGTAAAACTCTGTTACAGGCTTCCGAAGTGACTTTCAAGGGCCGTATAATCTCATCTAGTGAATCAAAGACAAGGGAGGGAGAGGAGATGAAAGTTTCTGATGTTATCAAGGTCGAGGGAGGAGGAATCTGGAAAGACGTTTGATCGGAAACGACCGGTTAAAGAGTTCTGGAGTAAAAAGTTACTTTCAGGGAAGTTTGGATCCAGTAGACGAGATAATTTTACCGGTGCGAGCTGGTTTGAGAGGTTTTGTTGTGTTTAGTCTGGTTATCCAGTGGAGGTGCCAGTGCAGATACACAGAGACCACTTATCATGGCAACACCCAGCGTTTAAATCTGACTCAGAGAAAATCTGTCCAGCCTGAGCTGAGCTGCACAAACTGAGGCTGGTGCCATGCAAACAAAACAGTTGTAGCTTTAAAGCTCCGATGAAATAACGATGGTTTTATAGCAAAGTTTACAAAGATGCAACAGCAAAACACGTTCATATCGCTAAAAGAAAAGACAACCTTTTAAATAAACAAGCTAGAAACCATAATTAAGCTTCACTGATTAGTGAATGAATCAAATAATCCATCAGAAATAAAGTAGTATGCAACTATTTTGATAATCAATTTATCATTCAAAGTAAAAATGTCAAATATTTTCTGATTTTAGATGAGAATTTGCAACTTTTCTTCATCACATATGATATTTTATTAAATATCTTTGAGTTTCGGACTGATGAAAGGAGCAACTCTAAGATGCCGTGACATTTCATAGAGTAAGGAATAATTCATTTAACACTTGCAGACCTAAAGCAAAGCAGTAATAGTTTTAAAACCCCAAAGAAAAAACAATCAGATGCAACAGCAAAGCATTTAGTCTCTTATAGACGTTTATAATAGTAAAGAGGGACAAAACAAACCAAAACAAAACATCAAAAACCCTCAACAAAACAACCCTATTACCAAAATCACTATATGTAAGATAATAAACACACCAGGCACAAGTTTAGGAGTTGGAAATACTCCATAAAGTGTAAGAAAAAGTCAATAAATTCACTATATCGCTCCATGAAAACACCATAACCTCCTGTAGAAAATATTTCAGTGTCTTTGATAGAGAGGACATCATTTCTAACTGCACCAAAAGACTTTAAAATGGCTCTTAAAGATATTTTGCATGTTATGAAATGAGGTTTACGGGTGTTTTCGTGTGATTTTGTTCGTGTTTTTTTTTTTTTGTTTGTTTGTTTTTTTACCTGGTAGAAGTAGCGACGAAATCTCCTTCCAGCAGCCTGAGCTTGCAGAACAAAACTCCGTTGACAAAAGGCACCGCGGTGAGCTCCTCCAGGGTCAGATGAGTCTGAAACTTGAATTTCTTCTTTTTCACGAAGAAAGCCATTGTTTCACTCGCATAAAAAAAAAAAAACACGGCTAAAGCTAGCGGAATGACCTGGGGGATACTATTTAAAAACTAGCTAATGTAAACGAAGTGTCCCTGCTGCTCCTGCTGGTGTTTTAGTTTGTGTTTTCATGCGAACTCCGTTTCCCCAGAGATGATTCAGCACAGAAATCTGAAAACAAACCAAGCGTTTCGGTTGATAACGTGTATAAACGTGGGGAGAAATTTAACGTACGTGTTTAAAAAAAAAAAAAAAAAAAGTAATGTCGGACCTACCTGGAGACATGTCTTGTCCCGTGAGGTTTGTCCGCAGCGGTGCAACAACGTACAATGACAGAGAAAACAGACGCTTCATCTCGTTTTCTTCTCGGAGCCGAGAGGAGGAACTTCGCGCGAGGCGCATCAAGCTAGCGGAGAGTACGTCATTAGACTTCCGGTTCCTACCTTTCGGAATAAAAGTTAAAAGCTCAATTTTTATTTATTTTGTTAAAAAAAAAATGTTTTGTGATTTTGTCAAAATTTCTGAATCATTGGCCAATACACACAACACACAATGCCAATAACAATATCCAGTGAGAAACACATAGATATGATATATCATATATGCATGTTATTGCACAATGTCAGTTTTAAACTATACTATTATAATTGTAGGTAAGTGGGTGTTTTAATACTACAGGGTTATTGCACAGGGATTGTGGGACTTCCTGACTCTGGAGGTGTACAAGTCCTGGATAGTGGCCAGGTCAGTGATTGCAAAGGACTATCTGGATCAGCTTCCTGAGCTGGTTGAGGAAGTACATCCTCTGCTGGGTTTGAGGGCTTAAGTCTTACTTAGTCTTACTTATAAAGTTAAGAATAAAACCTTTTTATTGAACATCTTTTGACTTTTAAAATGCTCTTAAAATTAGTATTTTATAATGTTGTAATGTTTTATAAGGGTTTATCATTATTATTATTATTATTATTATTATTATTATAATGATAATAACAGAGTTGTAGGATTTATTGAACAATTAAATTGTATTTAAGTTTAAAACTGATTTTTTTCCAGTTTGTTGATTTTATTTTAAAAAGGTAAATCACCTAACATCCGGTCATGTACTAAATTCACTCTTATTGACTTGACACAGCTCAATGGACCAAGTCAGTGTCAGTCACGCTGCAGCCTCAGCGGTGAAACAGCGACATTACGTGGCCACAGTCTGAACTGCTCTCTTGTTGCCTTCAGCATTATAAGATATTTTCTCGGACACACACTGATATTTTATGAAATGCAGCTTTTCCCGATGGTGGAAAGTAACTAAATACATTTACTTACTTACTGTACTTAAGTACAAAGTGTGTGTTTACTTTCATATTTTCAGTTTATGCTACTTTATACTTTATACTACCCCACTGCATTTATTTGACAGCTATAGCAACTTCAAGTTCAGCCAACAGAGAGCAGCAGAGGACTGAAGGGAAAGCAGAGTGCGGCTCTCCATCTAAAACTTCCAGTCTATTTCTATATCAGCATTTTGGATTCTTGTGTATCTGAGAATACATAGATAAAAGGATTTGAGGGAAAATGAGTGGGAGAGCAAGGAGAAGGGACAGGACAACCTGTGGACCAAGAGAGGAAGCTGGAATAGGTGAAGAGATGATGAAGAGAGTGAGAAAGGAGAGAAAAGCTGAAGTTAAGAGAAGGAAGAGAGGAGAAAAATATGTGATGAAGAATCAGGAGGAGAGGAGTGGAGAACAGGTGAGGAGAGGACAGAGGAGGAAGTCTGGATTTGAAGAGTGAAGAAGAGAAAAGTCAGAAGAAGACACAAGATGTGAAAACTAGATTTGTTTCAATGATGATAAACGTGTAATCTGTAAATATAAATCAACTTCCACAAATACGAAAAACACGTTTATAAACTCACAAAAATATCTTGCAAATATAAAACGGATCTGCAAATAAACAACTTTCACAAATAAAAACAGATCTGTGAATACATTTAATTAATTTACAATTAAATGAATGAACATTTACAACTTTCAAACGGACATTTGTGAATCGAAAAAGCATTTGTGGATCTCACTTCTACGCTTGTGGATTCATATCAGTGAGACAAATCTACCTCCATTAAAACTCTTTTTGTTTTATATTTTCTTCTTTGAGTGCAGGGATAGATGAGTGGAGCTGAGAGAGAAGAGAGAAGGAAGAAGAAAAGATCAGGAGTAGATCAAATAAAATACTGTAAGATAATATTACAGTACATGTCCATGTTGTTGATCCATATTATTATGGTCTGGATTTAAATGTAGATTTGTCATCTAAACATTAAATCTGTGAACTCTGTTCTAGTACAGTGTAACAAGGTGTCAAGATTAGTGATGCTGTTTATGCCAAATTCATTCCCCACCTGTGCCATGTAAATTCAAAATAGTCACATCAGACAATCTTCCTCTTTTTCTGTGACAGTAGTGGAAATGAGTCTGTTGTGTTGTGGTTTCAGAATGATGGAGACAGAGAACAATTAGATTCAAAATATGATGCAAGCTCAGGATGATGTGCTTAAAAAACAAAAAAACAAAGTAAAAATACAGCTGCAATCACCGAGGTCCAGGCGGCTCACAAACATTTAAATACCATATGTATTAATTGTTACTCAAGTTTTGCTGAAGCAGGACTTTGGGCATCTGGGGTTTCAAACCTCTGACCTTCGTATCCCCAGAAAAGGCGACTCACTGGTTGCGCCACTGGGAAACCAGGTGCTGCCCACGCCTTCACACCAGTTGAGGCAATGACATCACATGTGCAAAACATGTGTCTGTGTCACTTTAAGACACTTAAAACTGACAAAAAGTGGGTGTGAAAGTCCTGACAAAAAAAGACCACACATCATTTTACTGGTTTCAGGAGAATCATCAAATAATTCTGTGACTTAGAAAAAGAAAATGTTGTGCATGAAGTAAAAATGACAGAGAGATAATTCATTTACTGAGGACTCACCGTTTGTCTGATCCAAACACCGTTTGAAACTCTTGATATCCGCCATCTACAGAATGTCTGTACACTTGTGGACTTGTGGAGATATAGATGTTTATTGATTTTACATATTATTAAAAGAAATTCGCTGCTTGGAGCCTTAATAAGTGTTAAATATTGTATATTTACAAACTGAAAAACCTTCTACAATTTCAAACAGAATTCACAACTCCAAAACAAACGTTATAAAAGAAAGTGTAGTTCATGTCACCGAGTGTTTGAATTTTCTGAGGGATAACATTTATAAATGCCTCCTATTTAACTTAAAATGTCACATTTCCAAACAAATACTGTTGATTTTACATCACAGCATCAGATAAAATAGGATCTAGGAAATAAATTCATGCATCTATAGAATGAATTGGCTTCATTCTAATTATAGTAGGTTGTTAGCTTTATGATTCACTGGGTTGGACTGATGACAGGGAACGTCCTGTTAGCTGACATTTCTCAACAATAAGTCATCAACAACCAAACTGTAAAACCTCACCTCTTCCTCATCACAACAGCAGCTGTATCACTGCCACATCCCTGCACCGTACCACTGAGATTCTCCTGTTAGTGATAAGACCACACCCCCTCACCTCTCACCCGTATCATCCCCGTCAGACACGGACTGTTTGTCTGATCCCGCAGGTTAAAGTGCTGCTGCTGAATCCTGTTTGTCGCAGGCCGCTGTGACTCTGGCGTAACAGTTATCGTTTACTCTCCGCTGAGTGACGCCAAGGATTGGACAACAGACAACAAACACAGCAGCTACACACCAACATGTTTGTGTTCACACTGGACTTTAACTGGTGTGTTAGTGGACTGCTGAGTTTGCAAGCTGCTGCAATTATTGTAAACAATTTCACATACCTTTGAAAATAGAGTTTAATATTAGGTAACAGTCAGAACAAACAGCCGGGACAAAACCTGAGACCAATATACAGATGTAACCTAAAGATCTTCATTAAAAAACGTTTCTTTTTCAGTCTCATTAAACGTTTCCTCAATAACAGCTGTAGTGTATCGAGTGTTGTGAACAGCAATTCACAGTATAGATCTTATATTTTAACAGCAGCAAGAATCTTTAAATTCAGCGTAAATGGAGAGAAATCTGAAGTGGAAACAAAGATTTTCATAGATTTCTAAAGCTGGATAAAACTACGGTGATGCTGAAACAGTAATAACTATAATCTTGTTGCCACAGTGTTTATTGGAGACAGAAGAGGAACATGCAGCATTTTGGATTTAACTGTCCAGCTGTTGAGTCAAACTGTGCATCATTTGGAGGTTTTACCATAGAACCTGAAAACCATTTTGATGTGTAAAATAATTGGTACAAACAGTTAAAAACCCTCTGAGGGAATTTTCTCAATTTCTAAATTATGTCTTAAATTCATCTTTCAAAGGGCGGCATCTGTTTCTAAAGCGAAGTCCCTTTTGGTCGGAGAGAACTGTGCAAAGAGATAATTTGGCCCAAATGCTGAAAAATCGAAGCTTGATTTTTGAAATTCTTCAAATATGTTGTGAAAACATCCTTTTACTGTTGTGGATGAATTGTTTTGGTGCTTACCAAAGTCTATAGGTTCATAAAAACAGTGCAATATATGAGTAAAATAGTAGATAAATGGATAATAAATGCCTAAAATGAGAATTTTATAATATCACGTAGCGTCGTAGTGTCATAGTGTCCTCTGTCACTCTACTTTAACCAAATTTTAGAGGCTTTGAGTCACTTATGGTCTTGTAAGTATATGTTTTACAGATTCTAACAACATTACAACCACGTTTCTGCGCTGTATTATCACAAAGATATTAATAAAAACAAACATTGACTGCAGAGGGTTAAATTTGGATTACACATATGGTCATTTTGGATTTTCCAAAACAAGGCCAACGTGTGATTCACACAGAGCAACATAACAGTGAGTTTTCTGTGGGCCAGTGGAAAATAACACAGTAATTCAGAGTGAATGTTTTCACTTCATCAAAAATTAAATCTCACCTGGTTAAGGTTTTGTTTGTTGCTTTAGCTCAATAGTCAGTTAATGTTTTATCTGTTATATCTGAAGAGAAGGGGGGAGCGTTCAGTAACACTAAGAAAAACATCTCAACAACAACAACACTTATTTTTTCTTAGCTGACACAATAAAAAAAAGTTTATTTATTGTCTAAATTATCACTGAACACTTTATTGGAACTAAAAATGAAACACAGGCTCATTTAAGTCTATGCTCAGGGATGTCTATATACTTTTGGCCACATACCCGTCTCCAGATTCAGTGCAGAGTTATACACCAGTGTGAGGTTTAAGAGCTTCATGCAAAAGTCAAACTTAAACCAAGTTGAAAAGTTATCTGCATGAGTCTCCATCAATACCAAGACGGTCAAGGAACTTTGCGCTCGCTGTCAGTGAAGAGAGATTTAGAGGTGTGTGTATGTGTGTGTGTGTGTGTGTGTGTGTGTGTGTGTGTGTGTGTGTGTGTGTGTGTGTTGTATGTAAACTCAGACAGCATCAGCTGACGGCCTAAGGGGTTCAGCCTGCAGTACTTGGCGTTTCTTCAGCGCCTTTTTTGGCTTTTGGCACTCACCCTCCTCCCGGTTTAGGTTCAGAGCGTTCATCCCTCCGGTCCGTCTGCCTCAGGCCAGTTTCCTCGGAGAACAAGCTTGGCTCTGACTCCTGCACCGTCAGTGGCCAAATCAGATGACGCAGCATGGTCTGCAGCAGAGTACACAACAAACAAGGAAAGAAAACAAAACCCAACACTGAAGTAATGCAGGGACAAAACAGGACTATCGTAGCTTCTCAAAACCTCAAGATAAAGACTGTATAGTATAATATTAAGACTAAAACCAGTATATAGCTTAGTGCATGTGGTGGAACACGAGGGAAGAAATGGAGAGCTAGGTTTACTCAAACTAACTTGCATATGAATTTTATTTTTTATTTTTTACTTATATTGTGTGACTTTTTCTAAATGCTATTTCTTGCAGGGAAATGATGAAGACTGAACTCAAACTAGCACAAAGCATTCATGAATAATGTTGGTTGTTTTCGGTTAGTTTGTTTTCTGATTTATGCTTAATATGTGGCAGGAAGACAAAAATAAACTATAGACGACGTGTCTCAGTTGACATTGACACACAACCCATTTATTTATTTATTTTTTAGTTCTTCATTTTTCATGCAAAAATAATTAGAAATGAAATTAAAATTGTTAATTTCTTCAACCAAGCTTTATTATAACATTATTATTATTATTATTATTATTATTGTTGGTATTTATATTTTGCTTTATTTTATTTTATCAAAATGTATTTTTGTAATTTGTCTTTGCAGGTCCTTTTCTCATGTTGAACTATATTATTATTATTATTATTATTATTATTATTATTATTATTATTAATAATACTATTGCACATGTCCCGCCAAGCAGCACTCGTATCTGCGTCATCCACAGTTTGAATGAAAGAAAACACGGGATTGGTCAGTGTTTGCCAAGATGGCTGAAAGGAGGGACGGGATTGGTCGACGATTCTACGACTCTTTATGTACGTAAGTAGTAGGCGGGAACGAGCCGAGCCCATCAATGGGCGGTCTCAGCAATTGGTCCGTAGTAAAACGACGTCACCTTTGCAGGAGGACCAGCCAGTGACGTTGCACTATTCCTATAAGGGGCGGGGTGTCTTGACACTTAGAAACCGGCGTTTCGGTACCGGCATTTCAGTATTGTCCTGCGGAGGAGGAGACACGTTGGTGTGTTATTTATTTATTTATTGTAGTTCCTTTTTAAATTTTCTGGAGCCAACATGCTCGGCCTGTGCCTTTACGTCCCGGTGTCCAACTCAGACCCGATTGAAGTGGAATATTTTGAGTCTAACGGACTACCGTCGGAGCTGAAGTCTGTCTTCAACAAACTGAGCGTGTTCCTGCCGTCTCAGGAGTTTTCAACCTACCAAAAGTGGCGACAGGTGAGAAAAAAATCACTTAAAGTTATCTTTTTATTTCTATATATGCCCTCGATAGTGTTTATTACCTACTTCTTTAAATCCCATCAATTAGATCACGCTAAATCCTTTCTTTCCTGGCGCCGGAAGGATTAGCACAGGGTAGTAAAAAAGCCTTACGATTAGGCCGCAGAGGTGACCGGCTTTCAGAAAATGTATAATTTTTTATAAAAACTTTATCGAGATTATTGGTACAATATCTAGCTAACAATAGTTTATGTTAAAGGTAACAGCTTTTGGTCCATGCAGCGTAATTTTCATGGTTCTTGTACACTCAAATGAACCGGCGCGCGCTCTGTCATTCATGTTGCAGGGGAAATCCACCCTAAAGAGGAATTCATGCCATGCCCTTCATTTTCACGTGCATTTGAAAAGTAGCTGAAGTCAGTGTCTGCTCCCATGAACTTGATCAGACATTATAAAGTAGCATCAAATGCACAAATTAAAGGTAGTCATTTTATAACGTTGTTCGATCATTGCACTACTAGTCTTAATTAATTTGCACGTAAAGTGTATACTTGCAGATTGCACAAATTGCAAGTCCAAAACCCCCAAAGTTTTCACTTGAGTGTTATATATGACAGAGAAGCAGCAAATCCTGCAGTTTGACAATCTGCAGAAATTTTCACTATTTTACTTGAAAAATAACAGAGGATTCAGCTCTATTCTTCTGTTGCATGTGAATATTCCCTCTGGGGATACAGTGGGAGTCTTCTTACTGCCACATGCACATGTGCTTTCCCGAAACTAGAAAACTGGTGACCTGAGCTGTGACTTTTGTGCTAAGAGATTGCACTGGACTGTGACTCATGCCTAATCTGCAATCAGTGGGATGCTGACCCACTGCTAACCTGTTAGATTTTTCAGTTCTTTGCACTCAGCTGAGGTTCACATTGTGGTTCATCAACTGATGGCAATGCAAGAACATTCAGTAAACATGATTTATTTTAGTGTGGCAACTTCAGTTAGTGTCTTATGCCTCCAGCAATGACTTTTAAGACAAGTGGCACAAACACTGGTCCCTTAAAACTGGTGAAACAACTTTCCCCTTTAACCATGCTGCAAGTCACATTTAAGCACTTGTGCAGGTAGTTTGGTGTGAGGTGCAGGGGAGAGTATCATTGCTATGTGACAGTCATGTGCCTGCACTGTGGGCAGCGGGTCAGGTATCCTGGCTGGCTGGCCGGCGGGCTGGAGTACTGCCGGTGTCCTCATCTTGTTTTAGCTCAGGAGGTTCGAGCTCAGACTAGATTAAAACAGTTGGCAGGTCAGCATGCAGTTGAAGTCAAAGATAGACCAGGGTGTTACTACCTAATACCCCCCCCCCCGGTCCTAGAGATATGGACGTCATTCAAGAATGCCAAGAGCACCGCAGCTTGGCAAATGGGTCATGAAACACAAGCCAGGGCACCTTTTTAAATCTCCACTGTCATATTCAGGACTGTGGGTTTGGCTGGTCATTAGTTGTTTGGCTTTAGATCGAGTACATTTCAGGACTCGCTGTACCTGTTTCATAATTGAATGTAAAATTGTTTTGGTGTGTCAGTGCAGATGACACGTGCATACCACTGCAAAATGTCATCTAATGCCGAGACTGATTTCTCCTTTCACCTTTGCAAAAACCACCACACTGTATTTGCTTCAATAAAATTTAAATTCTTCCTCCCTCAACAACTGTCATTATGCAAACTTTACCCTGTCCTCTTATCCGACTTAAAACAGAGAATCTTATCTCATTGCATGTATGAATTTATTTTCTTGCAGAAAACTTTAAAAGGGGAAGGACACGACTCGGACGGACAGCTGGACTTTGAAGAGTTTGTTCACTATCTGCAAGACTACGAGAAAGACCTGAAGCTTGTGGTGCAAAGCCTTGGCAGGAAGAATGCGGGTATGTGGCTGCTGCTGCTGCAGAGGTTTTGGTTTTGTTTCAGATGGTTCAGCTGCCATATGAGAAACTTTTTTTTTTTTCTTTCTTAAAACTTGTCTGTGTTTCCTTTTAAGGCCACGTTGATCCCAAAGAGTTCATGCAGTCTCTTCGTGACCTCGGTGTGCATATTTCCCTGCAGCATGCGGAGAAAGTCCTTAAGAGGTAATTTCATTCATCTGTTTCATCCGCTTATATTTTGGATTGTTGTATTAACTGGAGTCCGAGTCTTAGTTTTGTTCTTTCTTTCTTAAAGCATGGATAAGAACGGAATGATAACGATCAGCAGTAGAGACTGGAGCAACTACATGATGGTGGAGAAGACGGAGAACATTCCCGAGATCATCCTCTACTGGAAACACTCCACGGTTAGTTGAACAGACTGAAGTGAAACATCGAAGTTACCACTGTGGGGAACAGATGTAACAGTGATCTTCTTTATCACCAGAACCCAAACGGGGAAGAGCTAAATAATCAATAATGACTTCCTTTGACTAAACTGGAATATTCCATTTGTTGGTGTTACATAAATGTTCAGATGTGCTATTTTCACCCGCTCTTCGGTTTGATAAGGGTATCAGGGCGTCCGATAATGGTATCACTCAAGCTGGAGCTTATCAAAGGGCATTAGGTGTCTTTCTCCTGTCTGAAGGACGGGGAAAAGAAAAAAAAAAACAGGTCAATTAAGAAGCGAATTCCCTGAAAGGCTTCATGAGCACAAGGCGTGCGTCAGAAATTAAGCTCTATTAGTCCATGAAAGGAATTGGTCCCATTCTGAGAGGATTATGTTGGAGGGATTTGCCCATTTGTCTAGCTGTTATGTAAAAGGTGGCAGCAGTAAATGGGAGCAGGTGGAGACTGAAGTAATTTAGCACAACTCCCGCAGGAGGACAGTGTGATCTTGGGTGTCGGACAAGTTATTTCAACGCCGTGCTCATCTAATGAGTCTAGCAGCCTCGACTTGGCACAGACGAGATGCTGATTGACTGACAGGCGGAACCAGGTCCAGGAATAGCACCGGAGTTACCACTCGCAGCAGATCAAACGAAAGGCAACCACATTACTGATGAAACGTAAGCCCCTGGATCGTTTCAGATTGGAAAAAAATCCGATGTTTAAAGCTCTCTGCAGTTACAGCACAGCTTTGTTTCCCACTGCAGAGCCAGCGTGTCCCAGAGTGACACAGACTTTCTATTGGGTAGTTGCAGAGGTTGCTGTCCTGTATTTGGGACACAGTAATAAATAGGATGTTTTATTGACTCTGTCAAATTATATAATGACAAAGCAAAAATAAAATTGAGGCTGCACAGAATAACATCGAAAACAAACTGGAAAAATCTTATTTAGCAGGAGGACATCTTTTTTTTCTGATGCCCTTTTAAAGTCATGTTTAAGGGGAGCAGAGTTGGCACAGGTCCACACCTGCAGGTTTAGATGGATCCAGTTGTAAGCCTGCTGTCTGCTCCTGACCTAGATCGTTTCAAAAACACGTCCCCCTGCAGACTCGCACCCTTTGACCTTCGCCCAAGGAGCCTCATTAAAACCTTCGTGGCTCAGATTTTTAGAGCAGTACAGTGTGTCCCTGATTATCCACTGAAGTCAATTAAATCCTGACCTATACTGTGGTGTTTGTGAAAAGAAACCCACCACATAACTCACAGTTTGACCTTTTACTGAGGCAGGAGGAGTCTGCTGTCACACAACAGCGATGTCATGTGCTTTCTAACAAGAAAAATGTTCACAACAGCACATGTGGGGAGCTGGAGTTTTAAGTGGATACTTGTATAAGAATAGAAGCTCAGGGACACCAGGGGGTTCCCAGCAAGAAGGGATTGAAACTCTTTCTGTAATGAAAATCTTATCAGATCGGGGTCGGTGGTCTCTCTTTTATATTGGTTTCTTGTCCTTCATGTGAAAACCTTTTGAGAAGCTCTGTTCTAACTGATGCCGGTGAAGACGAACAGATAAAAACATGATCTTGTCGTCTTGTGGTCTGTCTCTCTCACGTTATCCTAGCATCTAAACCTTTCTGTCTTCCCGGCAGATATTCGATGTGGGTGAGAACCTGATGGTGCCGGATGAGTTCACCATCGAGGAGAAGCAGACCGGGATGTGGTGGAGGCACCTGGTCGCAGGTGGAGGAGCGGGAGCCGTTTCCAGGACTTGCACCGCTCCGCTGGACCGAGTCAAAGTCATGATGCAGGTAAGACGGTCGCGTCCAAACCCAGTGTGTATGAATCAAAGGTTAAAAACCCCGTAAACGAGTTTCCAGACCTTCAGGAGTTTGGGAACTGGACAATGTGAGGTGGAAGCTCTTATCTTACTCGCTGTTTGCAGCGGTAGAGAATTATCATCAGCTTGTGGGTCATATGATGTAGGTGCCAGCTGTCAGCAGAGCCACCAAGACTGAAATCTACTCACCTGAGTCAAATCAAGAGAGTTGAGCTCAACAAATCAAACTTTGAATAAGTAAATGTGAGTGAGATTCTCCTGAAGGCCATAACTGAGGGGCTTTCGTAACCGCAGCATTCGGCACAATTATTCAAGTAGAAAGATGGAAGATTGCCCAAGAGTGTGTTGCTTAAATGCCATAAATGAGTTAATGGTTAATGGACAGTATAAGAGCGAGGGGTCAGAGTCCAGGGGCCAGTCGCCCGTCAAAGCCGAGCCATAACCGTGACCAATGACGGCTCGCCAACGGCCGTCACTCCCCCGGCTGCGACGCCTCAACCGCCATCAACGGCTGAAGGTCTAACCGTGCTGATTCGGGATCTGTGTCAACGGCCCTGATTGACGTCAGCGGCAGTGTGGAGAGTCGACTTTGAAACAATCGTGTCAACTTTGAGCCCCATTGATTTTTTTCACTATTTTCCCATCAATTAGTTAAACAACCCTGACCCACTTGGATTAGTTTTTGGGTAAAAAAAAAAAAAAAAAATTGGGCTACATGGCGCCGTGCCTGATCCTGAGATTTAACATCCCATTGTAATTATTTCAGCAGCCTATTAAATCAATCAGATCTCCAAATGTTTCCCTCTCAGTGCAGACAGAAGTTTAGGGCTGTCGAATATTTACATCTAATTGATTATCTCTAATTCTTCTTTCTTAGGTTTATGGATCCCGAACCAACAACATGTGCATCATGAGCGGGCTGATGCAGATGATCAAAGAGGGCGGCATGAGGTCGTTGTGGCGAGGCAACGGCGTGAACATCATCAAAATCGCCCCAGAGTCGGCGCTCAAGTTCATGGCGTACGAGCAGGTATGACGAGTGACTCTCGCAGCGCACTGTCCTGAACCTCGGCTGCTCTTGGTGTCCGTTCACTAATTCTCTCTCGGTCGCCTTCTCCAGATCAAACGTTTCATCGGCAGCGAAAAGGAGACTCTGACCATCTTGGAGCGATTTGTCGCAGGGTCTCTGGCCGGCGTGATCGCCCAGAGCGCCATCTACCCCATGGAGGTCCTGAAAACGCGCCTGGCTCTGAGGAAGACCGGGCAGTACGCCGGTATCTCCGACTGCGCCAAGCGGATCTTTAGGAGAGAAGGAGTTGGGGCGTTTTATAAAGGCTACATCCCCAACATGCTCGGCATCATCCCCTACGCAGGCATCGACCTGGCAGTGTACGAGGTGAGCGGTGGATTGGATTTTTTATTTTTCTTACTTTCTGTATTCTTTCTTGCAACCTTCATCCTCAACAGTATCAGTTTGTTCTTTCTTACTGTGACTCAACTTCTAATCGGAGCAAGAATGTAAATCTTTCAGCTGCAAATTCAGCACATTCACAGTTTTACTTGTCTACTGTTAACTTTGCACACTGATAAAATGTCCAAGTGTTAAACCAAATATTTAAAAAAAAAACATGATGTTTAACACAAGAGAGAAACAAAGGTGACGTTTGATCAGGAGACATTTAAAAAAAAAAAAGCCAAAGGTTGTGTTACCACATCTTGCCTCACAATGAACCAACATTAAGAAAGAACCAGACGAACTCATGACTGGATTACATAACACAGTCTGATGACTAAGTGACTGTTGCATCCCCCTGTTCTCTTGGTTCCTGCCAAACTTATCTTGTGTTTTTCCCCTCCCTCAGACGCTGAAGAACAGCTACCTGCAGCAGTACGGCATCAACGGCACCGACCCCGGCGTCTTCGTCCTGCTGGCCTGCGGCACCGTGTCCAGCACCTGCGGCCAGCTTGCCAGTTACCCTCTGGCTCTGATCCGGACCCGCATGCAAGCTCAAGGTGAGGCCTTCACTCGCTTGAAATACTGAGCTTCTCTGACAGACTCCATCAGTATAAATCTGACCTGAACATGTCAACACTGAGGGTGAAGAAGTTTTAACCTGTGAAATTTTAGTATTTTATGTTGTAAATATGTTTTTTTTGGTTTTTTTTGGTTTTTTTAAGACCAACATTTTACACATTCCTTTGAAATGGAGTGTCAAAGATTTCTTACAGAAGTAGCAGCTCCTTAAAGGAACACACCCATTTAGGGAGGATATTTCCCGCACTGTGATCAGGGAGGAACATTCATGTCAAGGGTGGATGACATCATTCAATAACTATCAAACTTCTGGCATTTTTGTTTGAAAAACCAATCAGTGAATCATTTCAGCTCAAGTTCAAATCTGGAATTTTTTTTTGACATTTTTCACAAAAGGACGCTCTTGATCTTTAGTTATAGAACATTTATTGTATTATATACAAGTGCTTGACAAACACTTGTGTATAAAAACCAATCCAGGGTAATTTTAAGAGAAATAAAACGATTCATGGGAAAGTAAAACCAGGAGAAGCTCTCAGATAAAAGCCTGTTTTAAGAAGGTTAGACTCATCCCAGAGCCGTGGGGCCCTGACTGTAAACACTCTGTCAGTTTGTTTCATCACTGTATCTTTATTGCAATATCTTCATTGACCTGTTGATGATGTTTTACAGCTGCAACAGAGGGCAGCCAGCAGGTGACCATGACGGGTCTCTTCAGGCAGATCATGCAGACCGAGGGTCCGACCGGGCTCTACAGAGGCCTGGCCCCCAACTTCCTCAAAGTCATCCCCGCCGTCAGCATCAGCTACGTGGTGTACGAGCACCTGAAGACGCAGCTGGGAGTGACATCGCGCTGAAACCCCACCCCCTCCTTTTTGTCACATGGCTTCAAAAGCTTGAATACGACAAGTGACCCTCACCCAAACACCCACCGCAAACCCCGCCCCCTCCCGCCCGTTCCCTTCCAAGGCTCAAGCTAGGGAATCCCAGGGACCTTTTGTGGCCCCTCTGGGGGTTCGTGGAGCCATCTCATTCTGTGAATGTCAGCTGACGAAAGAGGAGAAAGGACACTGAACGTTGGAAAGGCCAAGGTGGAGGATATGAACTCTGTGAGCTCAGGTTGTCAGGATTGTGACTGCTGCTATTTATGTTTTAAGGGGAAACTCAAATGTGAAGAATGTGAGTGACTGTAAGTCGAGGACCAAATGTTTTTGCTCTTCCTGCCACTTTACGTTTTGGTGCCTGAGGAAAATATCCAGTTTTGTTTTGTTTTTCATGTTGGTCTGACATTGCAAGCTTTGGTCAGTCGGCTTTAATATGCATCACCAGCACTCTTGTTAAATAACTACTTCATTTAAAAAAAAAAAAAAACTGAACAGATTCAAATACGTGGCAGATCTAGCATTAATAAGCTTTATTCTTTAACAGTTCTGCCTGTAGGAAGAAATGATTGTGTCCCTAGAAGAGAGGATTTTGCACATGTGAGTTTGATCTCTCTCCACCTCCGTCCCGAGTGAATGGATTGATGGCAGCATTTTCTTAATGACTGCAGAGTATTTATTTCCATCTATCCTGTATTTATTGCTTTTATTTTGTAGAAGAGAGAGGAGGTGTAAAATGTTTTCTGTTGCATGTTTTCTGTCTGAAGAGCCAAATGTGCGATTGATAACAGTTGTAAAATGCAGTGTGGTTATATTCAGGGTGGGAAATTAATACCAGGAAACGGCCTTAACACGTGGCTATCAAACACTAAGTGTAGTTGTGTGGTGAATTGTTGAAAAGAGGGTTGGAGCTTGTACTCATGAGTCACTGTGGCTGGTGTCTGCATCAACAAAGACTTATTTTTTTAGTTGCTTAAAGAGTTTAATGGCATCGAATAGCGTCTGTTGATGTGTGTTTGCCCTTTTTTCTTTTTTTCTTTAAAAAAAAAAAAAAGTACAAACGTCTTAATGTTCATCTCAGGTTTAAGGGCAGATTGATGTTTTTTTTTTGTTCACATTTGTACTTGGAAAAACAAGGGCTTGAAAAAGATGAGCAACATAATGCACTTTAATTAATGCTGGACGGGCCTCTGAATGAATGTCATATCAATCCAGGTATTAAGATTAAATTCTTTGTATGTTTTAGTGTTTTAATGGACCATTTTGATGCAAATAAAAGCAAATTCTTGTCAGATGTTTTGTCAGATGTCCTATTTTAGATGATGATCTTATGTCTTGAACTGCACACAACAGATCAAGTGACAGAAACTGAAGTGGAATTAGACTGGGGCTTTCTGATCTTTCCCATTTTCTAGGATCCATCCCATATGACGTGAACACACTAATCCTGGTTTATTGTTACAGCTGCAACTAAAAAGCCAAATTACAATAAGACTTTTCTATTTGACTTTTGCTTAGATAAGCAAATAATATAAATTAAACTAAAATGAATATCCAAACACAGAACAGATGCATTGATAACAGAAAAATCAACAAACTAGTAAAGAGCTCGTACAACCCTCATTAGAGATCTTGAGCCATGGTGATTGGATTTTGACACATCTGCAGCCACCTCAACACAACAGTGAATGAAGTTTCATTTGTGGTGGAGAAATGACATTTAATCAAAAAATTCCAAATATAACAGAAGCACAAAAATGTTCCTGTTTCTATAGATAAACCACAGAATTGTTTCAGAGGGAAATCCCTAGTAGCAGGAAATTCTACTGATTATTCTGTGGAGACAAATTGCAGAGCCAGATATCTCAAAATCTAAATAAATAAAACTACAACTATCTGAATGAATATATACTAGCAATGTGTGTGAAGTGAATAAATCATTATTTTATTAGAATAGCCCCAACCTTTACATGCACAGTGACCCTAGTATTACTGTACCTCTGCACTGGATCATAGATGGTAAAGTATTTTATCATTTAACTGAACTGAACTGCAAAAATCTCCTTTTTCCTTTTGTTCATTACTTAATCTTACAATGTTTAACTTAAAACAAGTGAAACATTAATTTGCTGTTCCCACAACAGTTTCAGCTCTTCCAGGAAGCTTCTATAGAAACTGGTCATGGGACGAGTAGAGATAACAGACAGATTAACTCACTGTACTTCAGAATAAATAAATTACAATGGCTGAGTTATGTGTTACTGATATGACAGACATTTTGGATATTTCACATAATATTTCAGTAAATTTGAATGATTATATACAGTATTGTAACCTTGGGGATTTATTATGATTTATTATGTTCTTACATAGTGGAGATCGGAGAAAGATTTAGAATTAATGCGCAACAGGAAACAGCAAATAGTTTACTGGATAGGGATTACTCAGAAAAATAGTAAAGTGTTGTTATGTAACAGTAACTGATACAGGATTAGGCTTCTGCACAGTCCATGATGAAAACACAAGTTTTGTTGGTTGAGCTGAACTAAGAGAGTGTCAGCTGTCAATTCAACACATAGGAATATGGATCAGCCAGAAACCTTCTCCAATTATTATAATTTGTCAGCGGAAGATAAGAGAATAAATGAACAACCAGGGAACACAGTCTGGACTCTCTGGATCCACGGATGCCTCCACTGTAAGACTTCCTCAGTTATACTGTAACAACGCCCGTGATGTTTGCTCTGCAGGTTATTCCTAGGTCACAGCTACTGACTAAGGGTGACTGGGCCTTTGCTGTCAGAGCTCGCACACTGGGAAACAGTCTACCTATTAAGATCAGAAAGCTCAACATCATTGGTGTCTTTTAAAACTCTTTTTTTTCTTTTTTTACTGTGTTATTTCGTGATCCATTCAAACAATGTTGTGGCTTACTGGTCTTTTCCATCCAAGCCTTCTTTAGGACCCCGTAGTAACCAAAAGTAATGTATCTGAGTTAAAATAGATAATACAGGAGCAATGAAGTAAATGAAGCCATTAGCATCCAACAGAAAAATAAATAAATAATAATACATAAAATACAAAAAACATTCTTTTATCAGAGAGCTTTTATGAATGTTTGATATGATGTTGTGTTTTATTTTCCCACTGTACAGACAATTTATATTTTCGTGTAACTTGCCTCTGTTATGTTTGTTTTTCCTTCGTTTTTAATGGCTGTTTTTTTCTGTAAGGCACTTTGTAACTTTGTTAAGAAAAGTGCTATATAAATAAACGTTATTATAACTGCTATAATTATTATTATGTGGTCCAAAGATTTAATTCAGTTTGAGTAAAGTAAATGTCATATGTATAATATTACGGTATACCCCATTCATTCATGAAAGGCCTGTATAAATACAGTTAGCTAAACTGTCCATGAGCAAATTGGTTTGTTGACATGCTGATTCTGTTTAAATGCTAATGTTGCTAACATTGGTCAACAGTGTTTACCATTATAAAAGAGCCTACTGAGATTGCCACCGAATGCTTAAAAGTTTGTTTTAGTTTCGTAACCACTCTTGCTACAGCTAACGAGGCTAAACAGTTACCTGGCAGTTAGCAGTGGTGCTAATGAAGGACATTATCAATATTATTATTAATAAAAATGGAGCCAAGCATTTCTCGGATGTTAGCTAAACTGTCTGAGCGAATTTGGTTTGTTTACGTGCTACTTCTGTTTACATGCTAATGTTGCTAACGTTGGTCAATGGTGTTTACCATTATAAAAGAGCCTACTGAGAATGCCACCAAATGTTTAAAAGTTTGTTTTAGTTTCGTAACCACTCTTGCTACAGCTGAAGAGGCTAAACAGCTACCTGGCAGTTGGCAGTGGTGCTAATTAAAGACATTATTAATATTATTATTAATAAAATGGAGCAAAGCATTTCTCAGATGTTAGCTAAACTGTCTGCGAGCATTTTGGTTTTTTTACATGCTACTTCTGCTTACATGCTAATGTTGCTAACGTTGGTCAAAGGTTTGTACAAAGGTGGAAGTGACAGACCAATACGGAGCCAAGCAGACACACACACCTCTAAAAACAGGGCAGTCAAACGGACTCACCGACTCTGAAGCGCGTTCCTGCTAAATCCATGAGGGGGCTGTCCTACTAAAACCATCAAGGGCGGACATTTTGTGCGCTTTATGCACTTTTTCCATAAGTCCGCATTTCTGCAGACTTTCCCTGAAGGAATTACCCACGACTCATGGGTCATATTAAAACACGGGTTTACCATGGTTACCACGGGATGCCCTAAATAAAACTTACCTAAATAAAACTTACCAGGTGACGTCAACTAATTCTGATTCAGGTTAGGGCTTTAACGCGGAACCTCGAATGCAGTGACGTAACCGTACATTTGATGTGTAGAACGGTGACGTAAACGAACCTTGCCTTACAGACTCAATGCATTTATTCAAGTATCTCAGGAGAGGAAAGTATTGGTTTTATTTGTCATGAAAAGATACAACGACGTCTTTTTCAAGATGAACATCAGTGGTTGGCTCCCAACAAGCACTGGGAATCCTCTCAGATCAATGGCTGCTGGTCTGGGACTTAACCGTCCCAGTGGAAGCCAAGTCTGCGTTTCAACACCTGACCCACCAAGATACGTTAACTCTCTGCACACAAGAAATGGCCAAATTCCTGAAGGCAGCTCGCAAATTGGGAGTGTGATTTTCCTCCAAACAGTGACTGCTCCAGGACTCAAACCCAGGACAGCTATTCAACACCTCCAGTGCCATCAAACCAAGATAACTTTTTGCAAACAAGCCATGGATGTAGCTAAATGCAGTTCAGTCAGCCTGAGTCAACAAATTCAAAGAAGGCAGCAATTGCATGCTCTAACATCTGTATTCAGAGGTGTGGTTTACTGGAAAGTTGCTGGCAGATGAATACTTCAACAGATTCACCTTTCTAGACTAGAAGTTATTGGTATGGTGCATGTACAAATTGAGTACACACATTAGAAAATAAAATTCACTCAAACTGAAATTCTGCTGCTTCAGATATGCTCATGAATTCCCACATGGGTGAAGTGCAATGACACAACATCATATGAACATCACTTCCATAAGTATTCAAATTATAAAATAGGTAGTAGATAAGTTATGGTTAGGGGTATTATGCTAATTCTCATTTGCATTACCAATTAATCATTAACAATTACCACTCTAACATTTTTAATGGTCTCCCTGTCTCCAGTATTATGGCTTTATTGTAATATAGTCACTCCAATAATATCATTCACACAAAATTTCTCAGTTTCTTTGTGCACCAATCCACTAAGTCTTGCAGTGGGTATCTTTCAATAGCAGTAAAACTAATACAAAAATGAAATATGTTATGGCATTTTATAATAAAGATGAACTAACTTTGGTTTATCTGTTCACGAAGAACCCAGGAAGGAAAAAATAATATATGTTAGTTTTCATTTTAGACAGCTAAATACGTACGAAACCTACAATAACAACATCATACCACCTCATTTGACGTTTTCGCGCAGGTTTCAGTTCGCGCAGTTTGTCCTACTCTGCCTCCCGTATCACAACAAGGAAGTAGCAACACCAGGGGGGCAAAGTAAAACCAGACAAGAAAATATATAAAATAAGCATTTACTACTGTAACTAGCTACATGGTCACTTTATAAAACCCTCATGTATTTCCTAACATAGATAAAAGGTTTGTCTTAGTTTCGTGACCACTCTTGCTATGTTGCTAAAAGACAGCTAACGAGGCTAAACAGTTACCTAGCAGTTAGCAGCGGTGCTAATGAAATGTATTGTTATTAGTATTGATAAAATGGTGCAGAGCATGTTTCGGACCGGGTTTCTAGTTCGGGCCACACACACTCTGCTAACCTGGGTCACAACCCTCATACTGTTCCTGCATGACACCGGTAAGTTCATTCAAACTTTCTAACTATTAAAGAAGGACAGATCAGAAGAGAATATTTGACTCATTCCTGAGCTACGTTTATTCTTCAGGTGTAGTTACTAATTACTCCTTCTGGAATGAAATAGGTAAAAATACCGAATATTCCAATATTTTTTAACCTATATATTTATTCTGTTTTGCACATATCAAACATACCTAACATAAATTGAATAAGAAAGAAAGAATAAATAACAAAGGCAGCCACTTATATATATATATATGTATATCAGTGAACCTGAATTTAAGAAAAACATAGACAATGAATATATTCAAAATATGAGTGACTCAACAAAGAGATTTAAAAAAAAAAAATCATATAGATGTATCTTAGAAAACTACTGATCGTGTACAATTTGTCCAAATTTATTTAAATAACAATTTTATATTTTAAGATGAATACAATTCTTGTATTTAAAAATCCATGGAGGCCATAAATTGTTTCTGTTCTGTCTTTAGGGTTTCCCTTTACTGTAAATTACATTTTATCCATAGAAAGCAAGCTCAGAAGTCCTTTTTAGTCACTGGGTGAGAATGAATTAAATGGATTATTCCAGCACACAGCAACAGTATATTTGGCGAACAGATAACAAAAATATACCATCTCTTTCTATTTCACTCCATTAAATGATTAAATGAAGGAAAAGAAAGAAAGAAAAGTTGGGCCAATGCAAACCATCACCAAGTTTATGTATTGGTTATTGTACTATTGTGATGAAGGAGCTTTAATGTTGTATCTTCCTGATCTTAAAAAAAATATTCAGTATTTATTTGACTGTATTAGATTTGATTTAATGTTGCATGGAAGCACCAGTAGCTCAGCTCTGTTGTGCGTGTGCAGATTTACGGAAGTGTGAGGAGCGAGGAGAGCTGCTGCTGCCGCTTCTGTTCTTCCTCCTGGTCGTGCTGTCGGTGCTGTTGTACTTTGCAGTTTCTTTAATGGACCCCGGCTTCGTTCTTACTGACACTGTCAAGGTAAGATGAGCTAACCCAACCCACATCACTACAACCAAACAGATGTCATGAAAAAAGGTCTTTTATTGCACCACAGTGGTTTAGAGCTGAAACAATTAGTTGATTAATCGGTTAGTTGACATAAAAATAAAATGCAACTATCAGATGAACCTTTTCTGTAATTTTTCAAGCAAAAATAGTGAAAGAATCACAAATATTCTCTGAGTACAGTCTCTCAAATGAGAGGCTTTTCTGCTTTTCTTTGTCTAATATCTTTATAAATGAAATACTTTTGGGTATTCAGACTTTTGCTTGAACAAACTGAGATTTTTTAAGACGTCATGTTCAGCTCTGCAAAGATGTGATTGGCCGTTTTGACAAGTTTTTAACGTGTCATAACCTAAACGCATCAATAAAGTAAAATCAGCAGATTAACTGACGTCGATGCAACTGCTCACTTTTCACCTTCAGTGTATTAAAGAAACAATTCCCTCCACATTCAATATTTCAATATTAGGCTTTCCCCCCTTTCTCTTTTTTTGCTCATGTATATAATGCCAAAATGATCCTTATTTTTCCTTTCCTTATATGCACTGATTATGATTTGGATCGTTCACTCCCCCAGAGGGACCGGCTTTGATTTCTTTTCTGTAGTAATGTCTTAGTTGCAGGTGTCTGTTGAATTCACGTGTCCCCAGGTTACACAGCCCTCTGATTTAAGGTCACAGTGGGTACGTTGCGTGTGCGTATCTGTGTGTACACGTGTGACCCACATCGGTCTGTGTTGCGCAGGGCGATCAGGGTTCAAATGAGGAGATGGAGTCGATGATTCCTCAGGCTTCGACCCCTCGGCTGCGGCGCTGTGGATACTGTTTGCTGCAGGTAACAACTCGCACTCTGTGTTCATCAGCAGCACGAGTTTGTCATGAACAAGTGTCAGTGTGATATTCTCTAGATCTGTTTGTTTGATTTCTGTTGGAGTTTTTATTCTTTCCTTGTCGCGGTGACTTGGAACAGTAATGCAACTTTGGCAAAAACACAATCAGACAACATGTTCGCTGTGATGGAACATTTTGTAAAACAAGTGCATTTTCATACAATGAAACAATAGACTTAAACTGCTCTTAATTATACTGCTTCAGCTATTGAATTATTAGTATTATTATTAAATCAAACGATTGCTGATAAATAGTTTTTACTCTCAGGTTTGTGAGTAGAAGTGACGGATTTTTACTTTTATATTTCACTTAAGTTCAGTTTAATAAATACAGACCAGGAGCTGAAGAGTTCAACTTTTCAAAGTTAAAATAAGGCCCCTCTCTCTCTCTCTCTCTCTCTCTCATGAGCAGCAGCCAATGAGAGCGAAGCACTGTCAGACGTGTAAGCGCTGCATTCGCCGCTTCGACCACCACTGTCCGTGGATCGAGAACTGCGTGGGCGAGAGGAACCACCGCTGGTTCATCGTCTACCTGCTGGTGCAGCTGCTCGCTCTGCTGTGGGCTCTTCACATCGCTCTGTACGTCGGCTCAACGCCGCCTGTGGTCTTTAAAATAAACGCCCTCATCTGGTGGAAAATAATCCATAATCTAATGTAATACACATCGCCACCAGTTTTTGTTCCGCCTTAACGTCAGTGTGTGAATCTTTCAGGTCTGGCATTTCCCCCGGCGTCACATGGGAGCTGTGGTTCCGAGTGAACGGGTTCCTGCTGGCGGCGCTGGGCGTTGTCGGGGTTTTCTCCATGGTGGTGGTGCTGCTGCTGGGCTGCCACCTCTACCTGGTCTCCATCAACTGCACCACCTGGGAGTTCATGTCCCGCCACAGGATCTCGTACCTCAAGAACTGCGGGGACGAGGAGAACCCGTTCGACCGCGGGGTCTTCTGCAACATCTGGGATTTCTTCTGCATCTGCAGGACGGTGGTGTGGGAGCAGGTCTACCAGAGAACGACCGCAAATCCAGTCTAGCCTCGCTGAGACTGGTGTCAGACGGATACAGTGTTTGTAAGGGAAGAACTCTGGACCGTAAAACGATGGTTTGACACCTGGAAGAGTGTCGGGCCAGTGGTTGATCCACCATGAGATTCACATTAGTGGTTTTTTAGTGAAATTCTTGACAACTGTTCGATGGATTCCCCTGAAATTTGCCACAGATATTCCCGTCCCCCTCAGGATGACGTGTCGTAACTTTAGTGATCCTTTAACTTTTCTTTTAGCACCATCATCAAAACAAGGCTGTTAAAATCAGGGTCTTTTTTCAGTGTGAACGTGGCCTTAAGTCTTGTTTTCATTCAGGAAAGGAAGAAAAACCTCTCGACCGGATCTGTCTTTAATGTCGTTTTAACTCGACCTTTTCCTGTTTTTACAGTCAAGTGCAACACACGTATTCTTCGTGTTAATGTCATTCAACACACGTAAATTGCCACTGGTGTGTGTGGAAACAAGGGTGCTACTGTTTGAAATGAACATCGTTATGATTAAGTGGTAATATGACGTTAGAATAAATAAACGTTCTGCACTAATTTTTGACTCTTGACCGTTTTCCAAACTTAATATTAGAGACAAAAACAACTGGTTTTTATCTTGTGTAAGTTTCTTAAATATTTATTTATAATTATATAAGACTGGGAGAAATTTCTGGGTGTTTTTCTTTTTTATATTCTTGCTGACAACAGACCCTTCTCTAACTGCAGTACGTCTTGATGATAATGACTGAACAAAAGTGGCAAAACGAACAACAACTATTCCATCATGCTGATAACAGCGTAGAAGGAATCTCGAGCTTCAGCCCGTCACACTACAACGGGCCCATTGAACTGTTTGTACTGTGTGGGGATACTTCAGTCCACAAACACAGAAATGCAGTGAAATAAATCTGTATTTCCTGGTTTGTTTTGTTGAAAGAAAGAAAACGCTTTAATTTAACACTAATAAGCTGCATACAAACATTTAATAAATGGTTTATAACACACTATCAGGACAGTGTGAGCAGCTGTAAGGAGCTTTATGAGTGTTTATTAATGTACAGTATTTAAGTTCTAGATTTTATATTATTATTATTACGTGTTACAGCTACATTACAGTAGGTTATAAACCATTTATTTCATGTTTATATTCTGAATATAAAGTAAAGTGAGGCAACACCAACGGTCTGCTGCAGGTCGGGGTTTGATTCACTGTATTTTGATGTTAAACTTTATAAAAATGAATTTAACTCTGAGATGGAGCCAAAATATTTTACAAACATCTTTCTTTTTTTTAACTGTATTTGTTCTTTTTGTATTTATTGACAACAAGGGTACATTAAAACACTGATGATATACAGTATGTATGTTGTTATAGAATACATCCGTACACACTGACATTCCTGGTCAGGACGCTCCACAGACAAAAATACAATACTGACACACAAGTAACATGTAATACTCAGCAGCAAGAAACTTATAAAGTGCTACAACAGCTAAAACCAACGCCGGACGCTCGTGACTGAACACACTGGTCTCTCCGGAGAGTGAAACCTTTCAGTTTCGGGACGGCGGTCGAATTCGTTAAAAGAGAAACTTACAGCTTGAACACACGCCTTCTTTACATATTCGAAAAGGCTTTCAGATCACCTCCTCCACTAATACCCCCCCACCCCACCCCCACACCCCCCAGCTCTGACAGTCAAGACCCACTGGACCCTTTATTTTACAGCTTCTTTATTTTACAGCTAAATTTCCTGGAAACTTTCAGCATAATTTCCTAAAAAATGAGCCGGTACTTATCTGTAAATTATGAATCTAATAACAGGGAACGAGCTCTGCAGTTTGGTGCTAATTATGAGAGAAATGAGGAAAGTGTCAGTTGCTGCAGTTATGAAGAGTCCACTTGTTATATTAGAGTTTTAAAGAAGGAAAATAGGAGTTTGTGCAGCAGGTCAGTGAAAAGTAGTTCATAAACTGACGTCAGTATCGGTCAGAGTTTCTTACAAAGGCTGACAAATATTCTTAATTAGAGAAAATGTGCCACATTGAGTCAATTTATTTTACTGGTCTGCTCTGTGGAAATTAGATAGAAATATATTTGTAAGTGTAACTTACAAATTGAAAATTGAAATTGAAATTCCATCTAATAAGTTAAATTTATTTCTTAGCCTTTCGAGGAAACGCTGACGGATACTGACGTCAGTTTATGAACTATTTTCACTGACCTGCTGCATAATCTCCTTTGTTTTTTCAAAAACTTGAACATGACAAGTGGATTCTTCAAAACTGCAGCGACTGACACTTTCTCCATTTCCCTTTTAATTGGCACCAAATTGCAGAGTATTTCCTTGGAAATGGATTTATAATTTACAGATAAATTCCAGATAATTATGAGGAAAGTTTCCAGGAAATCAGCTGTAAAAACAGAGGACCTGTAAAATTAAGCGTTCCAATTTCAAATCTAGTTTTAAAGGCCTTCATCATTTCAGTTTATGTTGTTTCTCCATGGTGATTAATTACTGACTAATACAGCGGCGAGACACAGTCAGTGAAGCCTCAGGAATTATCTGCATTTATGTATAAATCTGCTTTAAAATATGATCAGATCTTTATCTAAGTTACAATTATGAACAAACACAATCTGTTTAAACTAAAAATACACAAATCATTGTGTTGTTCTTGTTCATATTGAAAACATTAGTCAAATATTCACAGTGTAGGTCGGAGTCGAGTCACTGAAGCCAGATTAGTTCCTTAGAATTAGAATTTAGAAGAATTGTTGATTTGTATGAAGCTGAAAGTGTTAACGAGTCGTCTCGAAGAGTCCAGATCGTCATCAGTCCACAGTCAGACGAACTGTCTGCAAATGGAGATGATGAATGAAGACAAAGACACAACACAGACGATCAGCAGCGTCACAAAGAAGCTCAGACTTACGACCACTTATTAAATCCAAAGGTTCACTTACTTTTCCCACCAGCACTGTGAGTGTTGAAGGGCTGCGTTCAATACAGACATCAACGATCATAACCGTTTGTGTGTTTTTGGCTTAGACGCACTGCGTTTGTCGACACTTGTGACTCAGATGAGGATCAGATCAGATTTTATGACCAATTCATGCAGAAAACCAGGGAAGTGCAGAGGCTTCACAGACTTTATCTCACCTCAGCACGGACACCACGCACACGCAGGAGGGTGAACGCAGCTTGTTTTTGCCCCACAGCAGGTTCACAAAGGCCCTTACTACTCCTCTATCTTCCCTTCTGTTCCCATCAGGCTCGTCTCAGATTAACGTCCAGGTCACTGGCTCGCTCACGTTTCACTCACTCTAGAATAAATGCATCAACCTGAAGTTACTCCTTAAAGTCCCGTGTCTGAATGTGATGTCGAGCCCAAACGTTCCCTGGAAAGGAAATATTTAGGGATTTTTTTTTTTTGTGTGTTTCAACAAAATCGGCTAGTTCATCTTCCAGCTTCGTCCCTGCCGCTCCTCCTCCTCCTCCTCCTCCTCCTCTTCCTCTTATTGCACTGACATCATTAGAGCTCAGTTATCACAGAATACAATTTGCTAAATTCAAAATACAGATATTTTCTTACTATTATGGCTATATTAGATTTTCTATATGGCTTCTTTTTATACCGCTAGCGATTACAGGATTTCTAGTGCGCAAGTTCACCACGGTGCCATGCACTTCTACTGTTGACAGCTGGTCTGGAGGAGACTGATATGTGAGCGTCTTCGCTACGAGGGGATGAGTTGACAAATATTGAAGATTTTTCTTTTAAAAATAGACGTGTAACCGGAAACTGGGTTAGCTTGTTTCATCTGTTTGGTCAAGGCAGTGGGCGAAGCCTGTCACAGTGATGCATAGAGACGGCAGCACATACTATACTGTACACCTCCGGAGGATAAATATTAGAAAGAAACATAATAAGCGAAGGCCACGAAGCAAGCTGAGTCGGTCTCCACCACACAGGGCGCTTCAAGAGGCTACGAAGCTCTAAAACTGACTCCACAGTCTTTTGTAAACCTCCTGATATTTAGCCGGCACATTCAGATGATCCAGGACTGCAGAATCTAAACTCCAAAGAGGAATAAAGACGTGGAAGGAAGAGGTGATAGTGTCACAAAGTCCTCGAGCATCCTGTATCTGCCTCCATCGAATGAGTTTCGTCCGTTCGTGGAGCAGTTTCACCTCCTCACCCTCCCATAAATATCCGTGTTGACTCTCCACAGACTATAAAAGGGCTACAATCACTGTCTCTGCTCTGTTAATACAAACAAACAAATAAATAAGTAAATGAATAAAGATGCTGCCGGGGGGTTTGATCGACAGTCGCACGTCGACTGGATGAAAGCGACAACAGTCAGCGAAATCAGCCATGGGGTCGTACCAAGTATCCTGTCTCAAGACCAGGGGGGGAAACTCTCTTCAAGTGGCAGTTAAATGAGGTTTTTACTGAAGGGATGTATCATGCACTACTGCACTGTCAGGGGCTTGAAGGGCTGCTGATCAATACTGATAGCTAATTAGCTAACGATTGGTCCCGGAGCTCAGATCTCTCACTTTGTTTCCTGTAATCTGTCAAATGACGCAGGGCTCCAACTACTAAATCATTTACTTTCTGTTTAAAGGAATAGTTTGACATCTTGAAATATGCTTATTTTTGCTTTCCTGCTGAGGTAACTGCATGAAGCATTTTTTACAATTAGGTTCTTGTACTGATTAAATAAACGACATTTGATATTGTCGTACATCGGGACGTTTGGCCTGTTGGATATTTTGGATCATCGTAAAGATGCTGGAACTGCAAGGAGGATAGAGCTTCATATTTACCAGACAGACATGACAGGGGTATGAAACCGCTCGGGTTTTTATCGTATTAATAAATGAATTTAGTCTATAAAGTGACATCTGATGGTCATTACAAAAAACAGCTGTAAAAAGTTTTCATGTAAATGATACAAAACAGTGAATTGGAGGGAAATGCTCATATTTGTGTCTGTAATGATTGTAATGATTGATTTTATGCTAATTGATTAATGAACTAATTTAACTATAAAGCTGTAAAAAGTTAAGCAGGACTCATCCTTTAATGTTTGTATCCAAAGAATGATAAATAAAGTAGTTAGTCACTGTTCTGACATGCTGACAGGGGCCTGATACGTAGGTGAAGATGGCGGTTACCTGCCAAAGAAACGGACAAACTTTCTCAACAAGCGTTTCCTGTCCGCTGGTCGTTTCCCTCCCTGGTCTTTTCAGCTCGTCTTTCATCCATGCAAGGCGCAGAAGTCGAAGTCGGCGAAGGCCTCCTGCTGCTCCGCGGAGAGGCTGAAGGGTTTGCAGGGGGGGGACAGGATCGGCTGGAGCCGAGTGAACTCGCTGTCGAAGTTGCTGACATCCACGGGCTCTCTGATCGACGGCAGGAAGGGCGGCGTCACCTTCTTGGCCAGCAGAGCTTCCCAGTCGATGGTCTACGGGAGCCACAGTGTTTATCGCAGTGTCCATGGGTTTTTTTTTGGCAGGTTAAATCAATGACTAATCAAAACAAATCAATATCTCACTGGGCTGAATCAGTAGTGGTGGACAAGGGTTTTAACGATCTAACCTTCACAGGGGGTTAAATGTTTGACGACTGATGATTTACCTCAAAGAATTTCTCTCCTTTGACCTCGTTGGCGTCTCTCTCTCCGGCTCCGAGCCTCTTCAGAGGATTCTTCTTCAGCAGCTGCAGATGGATCATGAAGGTTAGTTAATTATTGACAAATACTGCACATTAATAAATATATATATAATCAGATCTTAGTTAATAAATAAATATAAATAAAGTTAATAAATAAAACCAGTTATAATTCTTCTGCAGTGTATCTGTTAGATCAAACATCTTTAAGCTTGTTGAAGCTGAACCTTTTCAACCATCAGTATTATTTCATATTTATATATATGTATTATTGTATCAGAGGTCAGAGGTCGTTACCTTCTGGATGATGGCGACGGCGTCAGGAGGAAGAGAGGCGGGATACTGCACGTCATCGTTGACGATGCTGTCGAACACCTCCTCCTCATCCTCACCAGGGAACGGAGACTAGCGGGAGGGAAGACAGACGCCAATCGTTTATCATCACGCAAACATTCAAAGCTTCGAATATGAACAGAAAACGAATCAGAAATACTGATGAAAGAAAAACAAACCTCTCCCACGAGCATCTCGTAGATGAGGACGCCCATCCCCCACCAGTCCACCGCTCGGGTGTAGTTGTCGTCTGTCAGGACCTCAGGGGCCAGAAACTCGGGAGTCCCACAGAAAGTCGAGGTCCGGTCTCCGTGACCCATCCCTGCCAGAACAATGACAACGCTGTTAGACGTGCCGTGACGGAGGAGTCATCACAGGAACTGGAGTGAAGACGAAACCGGGGTTTAGAGCTTGAGTATAGTTTTGGTTCTGTAATAGTCCGGCCGGTTGGACAAGGAGCCACCGAGTGACAGAAAAATAAATGTACAACATGGAGATAATGACTTTTTCTTTGAGGCTCCGTGTTGATAAATCATGTCAGCGTCATGTTTGGTGTTTGCCTCGCTCCTCATTCTTCACTGTTCTAACAAGCCTTCATTTTTATGTTTGTATTAAGTCTGTGTTTTTCTATTTCATTTTCCTCTATAAAATTTGCCCTTGAGTGGTGGAACTGGAAATTTCAGGTACATTTGAAAAGAAGAGGATGATTTCCTGTGACCCCTCGACATAAAACAACCGGCCCTGGTGACTTGATCCGCTGTATTTGGAGGAGAGAGCGGAAGAGTGCGGTGTGATAAATCAAATTACCTTCTTTACAAAGTCCAAAGTCTGTGATTTTCACAAACCCGTCTGTATCCATCAGCAGGTTGTCCAGCTTCAGATCTCTGTGTAAAACACAAAGCGTGCGCTCTGAGACCGGAAGCTTCGCTACGTCTGCAGCTACATGACACAGTGACTTACACCGCTCTCACTTACCGATAGATGATTTTATTCAGATGCAGGAACTCTAAACCCAGCAGGACGCACGCTGAATAAAACCTGCACACAACAACAACAACAACAGGTTTTAGATTGTAGGACTCGCAGAGCCACTTAAATACCTGCGGAAAGAAGAAAACAAAGGTCGTTTATAGAGTGTGACCTTATGATCTTACAGGATAAACACGCGAAAGTACAGACATACTGTCCACTAACAGTGAAACATGCGGACCTGGTCTGGGCCTCTGTGAAGACGTTGTTGTGGATGTGGATCATGAGGTCGCCGCCTGGTAAATACTCCATGACGAAGCAGACGTGGTCGCCGGTCTGGAAACAGCCGTGGAGGTTGACCAGGAACGGGTGTCTGGACGCGTTGATCATCTCAAAGATCCTCTTCTCACTCATGAGACTGTAGATTAACACAAGTTACTCTGTGTTTTATATATTTCACAGACAGACAGAAGTGATTTATATCAAACACTGTTTTGTAATTTGGGTAAAACCTATAAATAAATGCATGTTTGACGACCGCTTTTCGTCTTGGTTTCCCGGTTACCAGAGGTCAGTCGCTCTGGTTACCTGTTTGCAGGTTTTGTAATTTGGATGAACTGACCCTTTAAAGCTTTCCCTGTCCTTTCACACACCTGTCCACTTCATCACGAGTCACGATGTCTCTTTTCTTCAAGGCCTTGATGGCGTACAGTTTCCCCGTCTTCTTAAACTCCGCCAGCAGAACCTGGGCAGAAAACATTCACGACCGACTGAGGACAAACACGAGAAGGAGTCTGGATCAAGCTCAATGAAAAACTTTTTAACTGTTACCTTCCCAAAGTGTCCTCTGCCCAGAACTGAAATATACTTGAAATCCTCCATGTGCATCCTTAGAGAAAACGAGAAGAAAACAGGAAGTAAAGACGCTTCATTGTTAACTTTTACAGTATATGAGATAATGTCTATGTGTGTGTATGTGTGTGTGTGTGTGTGTGTGTGTGTGTGTGTGTCTGTGTGTGTGTGTGTGTGTGTTTACTTTAGAGCAGATACAGGCTGATCTTCACTTCCCTCTGTATTGTTTATGGACGACTGCGAACAGACACAAAGTTTAATCATTTCACACCTTTTAATGATTATATTATATTTCTTTTCTAACCCACACAAGAGGCTGAATTTGCATGTAGTTAAATGTAGTTCCTGTATACGTCATTAATGTAATCTAGCGGATGATGAGAAGCTCTATATGGTTTGTGTTTTGTGTTTTAGCATCTCAAGTAGAATAACTCTCATTTTCAACTTTTAAACTGTAACATTATAAAATGTAAGTATCACAAATATGACGTTCTTAAAGACACAAGAGTAAAAACCTACAGGAAACATTTATGGGTAACACTTTATTTTAATTCTTCTATTTAATGTTTATAAACTGGTAAAAAATAAAATGGTTTAAAACACACTAAAATATGTAAACAGGTGTTTATTAATGTGTTTGTTAACATAAGTGGATTATTATTTGGATAATTATTGAGAAATTAATGAATAAACAATAAACACTTAAAATATCCTTATATCTACTTACAGCTACAAAAGTGTGTTTTAAATCATTTATTAAATGTGTGTATGCTGCTCATCTTAAAGAATAGTGTTACCCACCTACGCTTTTAGCCATGCTAGCAGAGACATTAGCATTTAGCTCCTGGTGCAGCCTCACAGAGCTGCTGGTTTACACTGGTTATAATCAAAGAATTTAGGCTTTTGCTTCCGTTTCACTGTTTAAAAGTCACTTTGGATAAAAGTGTAAAAGTAAAGAGAAAATTAAATCTACTGAAATATCTTTAATATCAGGTTTATTAATCATCATTTACCAGTTTTTCTTGCAGTGCAGGTACAGATGAGGTTTTGTGTTCTGTGGTGATGATGGTGGGGCTGTTGCCTCCCTGGTTGATGCTGGTGGGGGACGGCTGATCCTCAGTGATGCTGAGTCTGATTACAGGAGCTTCACTGCAGAGACACAAAGACCAGTGGCGGAGTATGAAGTATTCAGATTCTTCACTTAGGTAAAAGTTACTGTACTATCAGTATAAGAAATACTTTAATACAGGTAAAAGTGTGTCGGGCTTTTCCAAAAGTTCAAAAGATTTCAGACTCAGTTATTTAAATTAAATCATGTTTAGTGTTTAGAGGAGAAATGTCTTATTGGTGGAAATGCTGACAATTGATAGACATTTGAAATGTTGCTTTAACTGTTTTTTGTGTAAAAAAAACCAAATAAGTTGGAAACAACTAGTTTAATATTTAACAATTATTTGTATTTTACAATTACGGGGGAATGTTGTGTGTCTGTAAATAACACTGTAAACAGCACGGCCCTCTGGTGTGATTTGACGCTCTATAAATAAAAATGATTATGTCTGACCCTGGCAGTGGAGTGGTGATTTGAGGCTCCTTCTCAGTGGGACGTGGGCTGTTGTCGGCCACCAGGTCGGGGGTCGTACAGAGGGACGAGCTGAACGTGGTGAAGGAGCTGTAGCGAGGGAGGATGCTCATCATCAGGTGACCCCACGTGGCAAAATTCATGTTCATCTGGGCGGCTCTGAGGAAGTTCTTACCTGTAAAATACATTTTTTTAAAAAATCACACATAAACAAAATTAGAAATAAGAATTGAAATAGTGACATGTTTTCGAGATACGCTGCAGAGACAGAAACACAAATGAGATTCTGCAGGTTGCTCATCTGTACCTCTCTCTTTAGTGAAAATACATCGCTGACGTCTCAGTCTCGGCTGCCGCTCGACAACAGCGTCAATGAATCGAAGCTGTAAAAAACCACAACAGCAGATTTTTGTCCTTGTGTTTATGGTCAGATTAACAATTACTGAGAATTTTATATTTAAAATGTATTAAAGGTTCCACGTGTATGAAGGTGTGATTCAAAAATACCAGTAGAAACAGAGTCATAAAAGAACATTTGAATGTGACACTGACTGAAACATTAAAGATTATATGAAAGAAAGAGAAACAAAAGTAGGTTTTGTTATATTTCAATATCATTTATCCAAATAGCTTCTGGTCAATATGACAAGTAGAGGATATGAAACAATAGCTGAAGATTAGATAACCCTTCATGGCATGACAGCAAGTCCTGTGGTGTGACTAATAAGTTATTCCTCATTACAGAAGCCTGACCAGACTTTAGAGGACGTCTGCTACACCAGACCAGGCAGGTTCGCTGTGTGCACCTGGGCGTGGAGGAGGCCCTGAGGCTCCAGGCTGAACCCCTGGTTGTGGTTAGGGTTGTCCATCGTCTCCTCCAGGCGCAGGAACTTGACGGCACACATCGCCCGCCGGTCCCGCCAGAAGACACACACCTCCAGCTCTCGAGACTAAAGAGGAAAGTTGGACATCAGGCAGCACGCCGTTAGCGAACACAGACAGTAACGGACAAACGTGACTCAACCTGTGCTTGTGAAGTGGACATTTCGTTTGTCGTTTTGAAGGTCATGTTCAGACAAACAACAATTCATATAAACTCAATAAATACAGCTCACTTCTTAAGAGTGATGCGTATCTTGCATCTTTTCTTCGGTATGAACAAACTCTCTGTTTTATTGGCGCTCAGGATCGTCTCCGTCTTGAGGTTCCCATGATCAAAACAAAGCTCGATGTGAATAAGTGAAATCACTGAAATCAGACTTTTACTTCCCTCTCTGTAAACTTCCAGTTCAGCTGCTGCTCTGACAACAGAATGAGTCAGATCCTGAGTTGGATGTTTATCTGCAGGTATGAGGGAGACACCTGCTGGTCTGACATGGAACTACAACAACAACAATAACAAACAACAAGGGTACATAGGACTATTAAACAGTAGCTGCTTCAGATGACTGGCTAGGAGGGCACAACACGCCGCACAGCAGCTCCCTCTAGTGGTGGAAGAAGTACTCAGATCTTTTACTGAAGCAAAAGTACTATTAACACCACATTGTAAAAAAGAGAGACTCCATTACAAGTAAAAGTTCTGTATTGACAATGTTATTTAAATGTAAAAATGTACTTGTTTGCAGCTCATTTTAAATGTATTTTATATAGAACTGCATTTTTATCTTGGATTTAAACTTTTCCTGATCAATCAGATGATTGTTTTTATTTGTAAAAATTCAGATAATAGTGAGAAATGTCGTAACAATTACTCAGAGCCCAAAGTGACGACCTCCCCTTGTCAAACCAATAGTCCAAACCTCAAAATTATTCAAATCAAGAGAAGGAAAAGCAGCAAATTCTCATTATTGAAAAGCTGCAGCTCTGACTGGAAACACTGGTGGGTAGTTTAATATATAAGAAATAAAGAAATTATCTTTCATGAGCTCTGTTTATGTTTTGTATGTAATTTGCAAAGAAACTACAGTAGTAACTACAGCAGTTAAGTAAGTGTCCTTCTGAAACAAGGAGTAAAAGTATTTCAAATGTGTACTGTGGTACTAGTTTGTTGTCAGCTGGATTACACTAAAACTACTGAACCGATTTGCATCAAACTGGGTGGAGGGAGGAGGCGTGTCACTCTCCTTAACATTGCCAGAGACGACATTTCAGACGAGGTAATATTTGAATCTTGACGTAAAAAATCAAAGGGTTTTTACCATCCAGAGTTTTACATCCTGACTGCATTAAAGCATTATATTCTGTATATTCTGTATATAAATATGATCTTAATGTAGTAACTCCTAAAGGTAGAACTACTTTTAACTACTTTATATGTAAAATGTTCAAATATAAGTGCAGTAACTAGTAACTCTAATAACTGTAGAGCAAACAGTGCGGAGTAAAAAAAGAAAAAAGTGAGGTGAAAGTATAAAGTAACAAACTGGAAACTGGAAACTGGAAATACTCAAGTAAAGTTCCTCAAAGTGATTTTTGCGCTAACATTAATACATTTTTGTTTTCTTTCAAAGGGCAAAAAAAAAAGGAAAAACTAATGACTCTATTGTCTCTTTTACTCTCCGAGCAGAAACCACCTTGTTAGAGCAAGGCCTGGTCTTTAACTGTGACTCTTGTCCATGTGTTTCCAGTTCCTGTCTGTCCTGCACGGTGCCCTTGTATAATCCATAAGGTCCTGGGGTTGTTGTATTATGTGTGTCAGCAGTGTTACTACAGCCTATAAGCTGCTGATGCTGTTTGAATCTGCACCAATGTCACAGAGGCAGAGCCCTGTACATTCATCATACAAGGAGAACATACTGCCCTCCATCTTGTTTTCTTTAACCTGCCAGGACTGCCATATGGGAAGGGAACAGTAAATGGATGGAGCCTTGTCTCTGTTATTCCACTCATTTCAGGTTGAAACAGGATGAGCGCGAGGGAGGCGAATGCACAGGAAAAACGGCTCGAACGTGGGCGGCGTGGATCAGAATGATCACGAGAAATGACTCACGAATACTGGAAGCGGGCCTGCGGTGAAGGGTGTTTAAATGATGGGAAATCAGATGAGGAATCTGTGGTGGAACTATTGTTTTTCACTTTCCACATCACAAACATGCAACATGAGCAAAACAACTGGTTCAAACGTGTCGATCGGCAACAATTAAAAGATGATTTTTCAGACATTTTTCATTCATTAACTCGGGTTTTTGTAGAAAGCAGGCTCACTTTAACGTTAGATTCATCTCAGCTTACATGAAGTGCTCCAGTCACGTCCATGTGATTGACTTGTAATTAAGAAACTCTGCCTCTTTCATGTGAATGCATTTATAGCAGGATTGGGAAAACTGCCTTACCTGCCACTTTGACTGTGGCTTAGATAGAAGCAAATAGTCAGACTTCATCGGCTGTACAAAGCAGTTTAGTTGTAGACTATACTGGGGATATCCAATGAATTCTGGGTAAATTGTGTAACAGTAAAAAAAAAATCTAAATTAAGACTGGACCGCCACTACAGACCAGTCTGAGATGTCTCTGTGAAACTGGCCCCCAGAGCTAACTGACTGGCTGTACTGCATCCCCAGGTGACCCAGCCGGAGCCAGATCACGTAGCACCTGGCGTGCGATGAAAGCCTGACTGCGCTACAACAGAAACACCCTCGTCAACTCCAGTTACAGAGTCGTTTGTCAATAAAACAAAAAAAAAAATATGACATGTAACTGAATAAGGTCCGTTTACAATAAGTTCACGTGTTTCAAATCCATCTCAGCGTCTTTTTCTTCGTGACACCTGAGGAAGACTGTGAGTCACAATCCACTGTCCGGAGCCGCTCGATCTAGGGGGCCGCCCCGGGCGTTCCCCACAACAGTGCAAGCTGGCAGAAATGCAACCCACACGGACCGATGGCCCGACCGTTCGCTTTTATTGATCAGCCTCATCTTTTTGCCTCGCCTGCCAAGCTCATTACACATGCACTGTTGTTCCACATCCTGATTGCTGAGTCTCGGAGACGCCAGAGCCGAGCTCCCTCCTCCAGTCTGTCTCGTGAGTAGCTGTTTAGTTATCCAGCTCGTTCAGTGCCTTCTGTCTGTGGTTAGTTTAGTTAGTTTTTCACATCCTGGTAGCAGATGCTCTTGTTTTCTGGTGTCAGAAATTATGTGTTTGTTGAAAGTTCTGAAAAGTTAATAAGTGGACCTCTAAGCTTAGACTGTTTTGTTATGAATCCTGTTCCCAAAGGTCAAGAATAAAGCTTCAGATAGATAGATAAATAGATAGATACTTGGGATGAACTGTGCACATTAAGGCCTGAAACCAATTTACATTTATAATGATAATAATAATAATAATAATAACAACTTTAGCACTATATAACACTTTTCTTTTAGGAAGTAACAAAGACCTTTACAAGAAAAGTAAAACCTGATGAAATTAACTAGTAACTATAGCAGTTAAGTAAAAGTATTAAGTCTCAGAAAATGGAAATACTGAAGTACAAATACCCCAAACATCTGCCTAAGTATTGTCTCTTTATCTGTTTGTTGTCAGCAGGATTACAGTAAAAGTACCAGTGTGCAGCATGTGACCGCGTGTCTGTGACCGGACTCACCCGCTCCAGCTGGATGCAGAACGTCTGATCCCAGCTCAGTCTGCTGACGGCTGCCCACCGTGTCCGGCCGACCAGTCTGCCGTCCAGCCGGAGCGCCGCACCGACCTCTGCTGCGAGACAGAAAGTGATAAAAACTCGACACTTTAATGACTTTACGATCCGTTTTCATGGTAATACACCTTACTAAGACCATCAGCTAAATATAAACCATCATCATTTTAATGGGAGCCGGTTCCGAGGAAGTTCATTCTTGTTTATCATTTGTCTTTGTTCAGGTTTAAGGAAATAGCCAGTAAATGTCATGCCATTTAGCAAATGACTTTTGACATGACATAGTCTCCTTCTAATATCCTTAGCAGAGGACGTAATGTAATAAAATGCAATAAGCACATGGACAGTGATATTAGATTAACCTTTATATGAGTATTTCATACTTTACAACAATTTAATTTTTGTAAGTAACAACTGTAAACGAATCAACAAAATAACATGCAACTGAGCAGTCAGAGTGAAGACCATAAGATGCGACTGAGAGCTCTGGGATCAGCCTTGAGTTAAACGTATTTCATCACACTTTTATTCACAAGGTCAGAAACTTTCACACTCGTCTAAACCTGCTTGTAATTTGTTGTATATATATATATATATGTTTATACATCATGACCCTACAACTGTTTGCATTTTAGTACGTTACTACTTTATTAATTGTTCTGTTTTTTTGTCACACTTTATTTTATGCGCCAAATAATTTATATTCATGTATTTATTAGAAAACATACCGCTCCATATTTGTTGTATTGTATGGTTTCAGATTTTTTGCATGTTCAGTTCCACTGCTGTGCGCTGACAGAAACACTCATGCTAGCAATTAATTGGAATTAATTAACTGGAAATGTACTAATTGGAACAAATTGTCTATTTTCTTCAATTCTAAAATACATAATTCTTTCTAGCATGCTGCGGAAGAAATGATTCAGAAAAGACAGACCTGTAAGATAGTGAAGTGTTGCATATGTTCTGCAGGAATTTATTTGTACTTAAATGATCAATATTTCAGTATCTTCATTAGGAAACGCAGCTGAGAAACAAGCTGAACTGTTGTGGGCAAAGCAGTAAAATGTGAAACCAAAACTACAAAAACCAAAAACGACATGCTTTGAAAACTACAAACGTCCACTTACCAGAAGGTCCGTCCGTCCGGGGAGCAGCAGGTGAACCGTCCTCAGTGGGACTGGCAACGTTTTCCTGCTCTGGGTTTGTCTGAGGTTTCAGTAAATCCTCACATCCAAGAAGCCTGACTTCAAGTTTGCCTTTAAAAAAAAGAAAAAAGAAAATTTATTTTTTCCACAGAATTTACGACAAGAACATCGACTAGATTAAATAAATGTTGCGATCAAGTGTAAAAGTAACTGCCCACAAATTGGCAGTGATTTTGTGCTCTGTTCTTACTAAATACTTCAACCCGTAATGTAATAGGTCAACCGAGCGTGTTTCTAGTTCTGAGTAATGAATCTCAGTCGAGACAGCTGACCAAAGTGAATGCAGCATTTCAAAATAAAACCTTTCATTTGTCGGCATGAATAAATCTCTCTGAGTCAAGCCTTTAATCAGAGCTGCACACTGAGCGTTCACCTCAATTTCTTCACTTCACTGTAGCATCAACAGTGTTTTCACCCGCCCTGACACTCGTGCTCAGTACTCGCTGCCAACAGAGCAACTCCAGGATTTGTCTCCTCATTACATCATCAAAAGGCCTTTTTTTTTTTTTGTGTGTGTGTGTGTGTCTTTTTCCGCCTCATGCGGAGAGAGACTGGCTTACAACCGAACTGTCCAAAACCAACAGATTACATGCCCTGATTATCCACTGCCAGAGGTCAGCGTATGGTAGATCATGTTTAAACACTGGGCGTCCATGATACCAATGACAACATCTGCATATTAGATAGAAAATGAACAAAAAATAACATTATGCTAGTGTTTTAGAAAATTACAGAACCAGATAAAGTGGTTTTAATAAATCCATATTTTCTTAATTTTTCCTGCAAATTTTCTTTGAAGTTTTCCCAGGACGAACAATTTTATTTGGTACTAATTATATGGAAAATGGAGACACTATTCAATTAGCACACTCCCAATTAATCAATTCCAATTAACTGAAGGCCAACAGGCAAAAAGTTGACACAATGACAATGACACTCATTTGCATAATAAAGCAGAAATGCATAAAGAAATGTAAAAAGAAAATACAGAAATAAGTAAGATAGCAGGAAATAATTAGAGGGGAAATGCAAAGGAGAAATTGTAAATGGATAGATAAATAAATAATAAATAAGTAAATAAAAAATTTAAACAGGAATTTAAATGGGAAAGTAAATAAATACAGAAGCAAATTAAAACAGTAATATAAGTTTACGTCACATTCTATTACTTAATTAATGTCTGTATTTATCTTTAATATTATTTTTTGGTGAATTTAATGGCATATCAATCTATTTATTGAGTCATTAACTAATTAATAGATTTTTGTTAACATGTTAATTTGAAATCTGCCTTCAGCAAAACATACAATGCAGCATAGATAGAGAATGAAGTTTCTATTATAAATTAATAATGAATTAATATTTATTTGGGTTTAAATGGAGCTGTTTTTTTTCCAGGAAATTTCTAATTCCTGTGTAATTAGTACCACACTGCACAGTTCTTTCCAGGAAAGTATCAAGGAGATAAAATGAAGCGTTACACTGTGCAGAATCCCTGACCTAAATATTTCAAACCGGCTGAATATGAGAGACAACCTGAATATATTTGAGTATTAGTGTCGCCCTCTTTCTCATACAGACACACGTGTTTAAACATTTAAGTGTCTGAAAATTATTCGTGTAGAAAAATTCATTTCTACACACGTATAAAAACACTTCCAGCCGAGTCTGTGTCAATACCAGTTAAGGAGGCCGGTCTGATAGAGAAGATGGACGTGGAGGTGGACAGGGGACATCCAGGTCCAGAGTTTTGGGGAGACGGGGTTCCCTCTGAAGGGTCGACCCCCCCTGCAGGCTGCTGTAGAGGCTCCTGGTTCTTTTCCTTCAGGCATCTCTCAAGGGCCAGCCGCAGAAGATCCAGCTTCTGGGAGGATTCCTGCACCCGGGACTGAGCCTGACGGGAAGATAAACACTGTGCTGTTATATTTGGTCTTTGGTATTTTGGGATACGGTTTGAGCCACTCCACTTTGTTTTCCAAACTTTAGGCTTTAACTAGGATTGTTCTTCGCTTTTATTTTTGTGCTTTTATTAATTATGAAATTTTATCTAATGACCAAAACTAAACAGGATCGAAAACCCAACATGAATATTGCATATTTTATGTTTTCATTTTAACACTTAAAGGCCTACCATTATTGTTTTGTTGGATGTATATTACTGTCTTTCTTTCATTTCTATGTGACATAAAAATCAGATGGTAACTCTTGAAACCTGCTGGAGTTGTTTAATCTATCCCAGTGAATGTCTTCAATCATTTTTGCCAAATTTAAACTACATTAATACGTAAAAATGATGCTTAAAAAATAACAAACACCTAAAGCAAGTGCAGAGAGAGCCTGCAAAATGACTTTCATATTCTGCAAACCAACAGGATGCACTGAAGAATAACCAGCAGTAATACTGTGTTAAGTTTACATGACATGATTTGTAAGGGGCAAAGACAGATTGCTGACCATGAGTCTGGTTTCATTGGAGGGTTTTAATTAACTAAAGGCTGTTTCAAAGGCTTTTCCACCCTGACAATAATTCATTTATTATGAAAAATCCTAAATACGTCAAATGTTTTGAGAAGGAAATGAGCCACATTTAAAATACTGAGTATCAGGTGGACATCTTTCTCTATAGCTCAATACAGGTCAGTGGTGAAATGAGATGGAGTTACAATTTTCCAAATTCCAAATGGTGACAGTAATTAACCATACTTTTACGCACCTGCACTTAAAAAGAGCAAGTTAACTTTAGTTGCCACATTTAAGTTGGAACAGCCTCATAAAATGAAGTAAACACTAATAAATTGTTAAGTAAATTTAACAAGTGGATATAAAGTCAACATAACTTAAAACTAATAGTTATATTTACTTAGTTTTGACAACACAATCGGTTTCCTAGGTCTTTTTAAAGTAAGATGAAATCGTCATATTTTCTGTTTCCCCATGTTAAGATTGCACATTCTAGTTCGCTGAAGTCGAGCTACTTTAAAACAAAATGAGTCAAGAGTCCTACTTCAGCCAGTGCCTTCTGGTCCAGCGATGAGATCCCTTCCAGCTGCTTCACCACATCTTTGGCCAGCACCGATGCATCTGTCTCTCTCTGCATGAAGTGCTGCAGCTCTGCGAAATGAGCCTCCGCGGGACCGACGGCGACCGGAGAGATCCCTGAGAGGAAAAGAGGAAGAGTTAGAGAGAGAGAGAGAGAGAAGGAATTCATTTCAGATGAGCGACACATCTTCATAGATTCCTCACTGAAACTCTTTTTATTCCTGCAATCAATACTTATAAAGCTCTGTTCTCTAAAACGTCTCATTGCTCCAGGCAAAGCTCTTACCATGACATATTTTGTGTTTGTGGCATTTAGCTGACACTTATCTGAAATGTATGAAGGCTCGAAAAGGCTGAAAGAATACACACTTTTTCTCTTGCTGTTTGGGGCTTTGGTGATATTAACTTATGAATGTGTAGTTTTAATATTTTTATCCGTGTCATCATTTAATTTTCAGAGGAGCTTGAATGATTCCCTCAAAGACAGAACTGCAGGGGAATCTGCATCAAACGACATTTTCTGAAAAGTAAATCTGGTTATTTGGTTTGTGTATCTTGTATGTTTGCATGGGAAATAGGGGGAATTATTAATTTTGTGCCTAATTTCTAAATATTTTTGATCAAGTCCTGCATATGCTTATAGGGTGTGAAACGTTACAACCATGCCGCACTGTGTGGGGGAAAAAATAGCAGTTATTTCATCTCTACGTAACGATGATGAAAACTGTGCACAAAGCAGCAAGAGCGTTTTTACATTTAGCTGATACCTGGATGAACAGTGAAGTAAACTGCCTTCCATGGTTCACAACATGTTAAGGAATCAATGAGAGGAAAGGAGGTCAAGAGTCAGGGACAGGAAACACAAGCCGAGGAAACAAGGTGTAGAGTTACTTGTCTCGTATTTCATACTCTTATTTTCAGGCCTGGAATCATTTATTAAAGCGGGCACACATCCCCAGTTTAGAATTAAACGTCACATTCACTCTCTGTCTCTATTAATGCTGCCAGAGTGGTTTCATTTTCTGGATTATACAAATAACAACCACAAAGATGACAGTTGGCAGGAAGCACGGCTCAACCAATATGGGTCTTGATACCAGCACTGATATTTCTGAGCTGAAGTGAACTGAAATGTCTGTTACTAAGTGTCTCTGAACTTGACCTTTTTTCAACAAAAAAAACCAAAAAACAAAAAAATGCTCTACTTGTTCACAGGAAATGCTTCTGAAACATCATCATCATCAAAGTTTAACTGCAACTAAAATAGAGCACTTTTGCAGATGGCTACAGCATTTCAAATTAAAGCTCTGGCTTACATTAGTGCCTTTAATTAAACTGAATCATTCATTAAACATTAAATCTTCAAATCACATATCTGGATTAACATCAGCAGGAAAGAAACAAGATAAAGACTGAAAATGTTCGCAAAGGAAACAGAAGCCAATCTTAGGGGAGAAACAAGTTTTTTTTTCCTGCAACATAGCAAAAACATATATAAATATATAAATAACCATGTAGTATCATACATGTAGAATTTCCAGGAAGCAACAGAAGCGGTTATCAATATCAGTGACTCAGTGATTCCTCTGCCAGATTCTGAGGCAATTTCCAGCCACTACATTTCTAGCAGTTCAATAACCGATTAGAGCTGTGAAGGTTAAAATGACTTCTGTTCTGGCCCCAAAATGGTATTTAATTTGTATTATTCTACCATGTTGTTATCTATTATGTTTTCACTTCTTGTTTCTGACAGATTCCTGGTTTATTGAGTCATTCTCTATACTCTATACTTAGAAAATCTGACTGTAAACAACAAGACATACACAGTATCAAGGTTGTGTTCAATTGTTGCAGTTGCTACTGGTGACAGACAGAATTTCATTGCTGTAATAGATAATTTCATGCCACTTATTGACACATTAGATGAAGCTCAGAGGCTGGTCATTCTCCTAATCTTACACAGGGAAAGTACATTTCTAAAATATAAATAAATTCTGACAATTTCTATTTATAACCACACACATCCAGTGCATCATTGTAAGTAAGTCATGGCGTAGGACTCTGACCTCTATGAGTGGAGCTGTTATGGTTGCCACCATCATCACTGCCAATACCGCCACCACCGCCGCCGGTGCTGCTGCCAGCCTGGGTGACTTTGATAATCTGCAGTCGGATCAGCTCGATCTTGGAGCGGCTATCCTGCAGCATCTGTTGAGCTGTGGACAACATCTGATCCTGGATAACGACATCACATCAAGAGACAACAAGGCTCACTTCATCACCATGCTTTTTTTTTTTTTTTTTTTTAGCACATTTGAGCACATTCACAAACAAAAAAAAACACTGACTGAATACAGGCTTAGTTGACCATAACAAGTGCCAGAACATGAGGAGATCACCTGTGACGGCGCTGCACGCATGACTCGTTTCCTTACGGGAGAAAAACAAGTGCCAAAGAAGACGTGGACTAAGTGAGAACAGCATGTTCATTTCAGCTGGAAGCAGTATGACTTTGCGCTTCACTAACCTCAGAGTGATGCTCTCGCTCCTTGCTGAATAAGGACTAATTCATCCTCTGTGGAGGTGGTGGTGGTGGTGGGGGGTTTTCTCAGGTTGCGCCTCTCCACCTTCACTATCCTTGAAACACAACAAGTCCCCTGATGTTATGGTGTGTTCACACATACGCGCGCGCACACACACACACACACACGCACACACACACACACACACACACACTCTGACCGAGGGCTCCTCTGATGCAGCTCCTACATCTTGAGACCTGGATCACACAGCCTGTCCTCCTGTTTGTTTTTGCCTCCCTGCAGCCTCCTCTGCAACATCCCCTTCACGCTGCATCCTCATCCTCTGCTCTGTAACCAAATCCCCCCTCTCTCCCTCTCTCTCTCTCTTTTAGGGGGGTTTCTCTCTGCAGGGGGATGGCAGACCTCTTCTCCAGTGCCAGCACTGCTGCTTCTGCTGCTGCTGCTAGTCTGACAGTGCTGATCGCCCGCTCTGGGCTCGGCATTGGCCGCTGCATGACCACATGTTCCTGTGCTGTCACCAACCAAAAGACAAACACAGAGCTGCTGCTGCTCTCTTTGGGACAAGGCACAGAGCAGCCTGCAGCATTTAACAGATTTATTTAACCTGCCCTGACAAGAGGGGGGTTTAAGAGACATTAATAGCCATACTGATAGTCAACATACGTGCAGGGGGTGGGAAATCAAGGTGCAGCTGCTGGTGAACTGAACCTGATCCTGGACATTGAGGTTTGCTGACAGCACTGTGATTGTTTCCAAACCCTGCATGTACACTTGTCTGCATACAAGCATACATGACAACTCTGTGGTGGTTGTTGTTCTCTTCTCGGCTGTCTGTTGTCCTGTAAAATAACAATGGAGATTAGTTGACTGAAAACCATTAATATTTGAGTTACATATAGACAAGGACGTACACACTGGCCTTACACTCTTTGTGATTAGGCTAATACGCGTCCGGTAGCTTGACAGTCTTCCTCACCGATTAGGCTAATATGAAGCTATGATTTATACACGTCGTTTAGCTAAATTAAAATGCCCTGTTTATTTAGACTTTTCTTATCTAAAACAAACAATAAGCTCGGGTCAAACTGTGACTAATTAGCACCGACCATCAGGATGGGGCTTCAACTTCGACTGACATTCAGCATCTTTTTTTTTTTTAAGTGCGCAAGTGCGAGTCGGTCCAACTGAAGCTTTGGCCTGGCCCGAATAAACGTAATTTTTTTTATTTATTAATTTAAAAATCGCGCATGAGATATATACAAGTAATAATTCGAGGGTTGGTTCATTTTGGGGTGATTTTAAGAGAAGAGAGAGTAGTAAATGAGCAAATTGGAGCCGAGTAGTGAGACCTATTTTGAGAGGCGGAGCTCTTCTCTGCTCCATTCGGCGAGGCGCGTTCGTAATGAAAGGAGCGCGTGAGCGGCGGTTGCTGTGACTTCCTCGCTCCTCGGCAGCTACATTGTGTGGAAAGCAGCACGTTGTTGGCTTCTCCACGCTGAACTTTACGCCGAATTAACGTTCTCCTGTTCGGGGAGAAACCAGATTCAAAGCTACTAGCTATTCTCTCAGACGTCTGTAAGTTACCCCAGCTTGCGAAAACATGTCGGCCTCGGCGGCAAAAGTGAGTAAAAAGGAGCTGAACTCAAACCATGACGGAGCGGACGAAACCTCCGGTAAGGGGGAATGGCGGCCTCCTGTTCACCGCCATTTTCACTTTCTTCTCTAACATAATTTGCATTGCCATAACGTGCATGAATGTTAATAATTATTTTATGTATTGCTTTGATTTTGCTTAACGTCCCTGGACCTTCTTTGTGGTTGACTGCGACGGCTGCTGCGTGTATTCACATTTCGCTAACAGCAGCTAGCTCGCCTGCTAACGCGTTTATTAGCATGCCGCTACTCCAGCCTGTTGTTCAGTTCAGACCGGTGCTGAGAGGCCATGTTAGCTAGTTAATTTAGCATCATCAGCGTGGCCACTGTTGTCGATGGCTACTGACCCAGTGGCCGTATGCGATGCTTGAGCATGATTTGTTGTGTGTGCTGTTGTGAAACAACCACAAACTGCCCAATTTGCGCTAACGTAGTTATTATTGTGTTTAATAACCGGAATAGTTGCCCCTTTCATTTGGGCATTAGCAGCTAGCCAGCTAGTGTTGTTGTTGTAATGTTACCTAACGCTAGCTGACGACGTTGTGTTTTGTTACTGGCCAAGATGCATTTAAATCCACCAGCCCCGCATTCAGTCAAACTATTTATTAAAAGTTGCATAACTGGATCTAGGATCCCGCCGTATGGGCAAGGGTTTGACAGTTACAGGGGTCTACTCTGGCATCTGTCCTAGCTCGGTGTCTCACGTTATCGCGGCTCTGTGTGTGCAGTCTGATGTCCCACATTTAAACCACGCGGCCTTGTCGGTAGCAGCCGGCAGGAAACGGTGAGTGTCTGAACCGCTAGAACTGCAGCTATTGGCCGCTCATATTGCCTTTACCTCCGGGAGACTCCGACTGTTAGTCTGCCAGATAACCTGACAACTACCGTTACCTACCGCATACTAACGGAGGATTATTTACTATGTGCGCGGAAACAATTAGAAAAGCAAAAAAACCTACGTACAGACCCCAGTAGTTTGCGTAAACTTAGTTGCGGGGATGAAAACAACAAACGATGATAGAAATTTGGCTTTAATTTTTATATACCAAAATTTGTATGCGGGTATGAGTAAATAAATACTTTTATTTAAAAAAAAAAAAAAAAAAGATATTATGAATCTCCCCTTCTTTTGAAATTAATTTATAAATTAACGTGTATTTATTTTAGTCCCACTCTTGACTGTTGATACTTTTACCTTTTTATATTTTGTGACACATTTCTATTCTTTGTCCCCCACAGAAAAAGAGCAGCAAGAAGCTATTGAACACATCGACGAAGTTCAAAACGAAATTGACAGGTAACACAAATTTGTCAGATTCTTACAGATTAGGGATGTCACACTTTGTCCTTGTAGGGCTGAGACTTTATGTCCAGCAGAAAACTCAAGGAGGTGATTGGATTACTAAAATGTTGTTAAAGGATGAGGAACCAACTAGTGAAATCAGATGTTGTAATCACAGGGTGGCATGAGAACCTGCAGAATTTCAGCCTTTCACAGTTCACTATTTGGCATGCTTGTCTCTAAGTAAACATGATGATAAAACAATTGAAATGCATAACAAATGGATGGTTTTGTTTTGTTTTTTTTTCCTGTGTGTCGATCAGCAAAATAGTCCAAATTAATTTGTATTTTGGTTTGTGATTTTTATTTATTTTTACACCCTTCAGGTTGAACGAGCAAGCCAGTGAGGAGATCCTCAAAGTAGAACAGAAATACAACAAACTCCGTCAGCCATTCTTTCAGAAGAGGTCAGAACTGATCGCCAAAATCCCAAACTTCTGGGTCACCACGTTTGTCAACCATCCACAAGGTAAGAAATTCAGCATGAGGTGTATATATTGTTTTTATTCTGTGGAAGCATTTAGATCACAACGACAGATGTTTGCATGACAATAAACCAGAAATTGAAGCCCTATATCGGTCTGTAAAATATGCATTTCCCTGCAGTATCTGCCCTACTGGGGGAGGAAGATGAAGAAGCACTTCACTACCTGAGCCGAGTGGAGGTGACAGAGTTTGAAGACATCAAGTCAGGCTACAGAATAGATTTTGTAAGTATTGTAATGTTGCATACACACACAACAATGGTGATGAAAATCTCTTCTTGTGTTCTTACCCTGGTGCATTTTGTCTTCCAGTATTTCGATGAAAATCCGTACTTCGAAAACAAAGTACTTTCCAAAGAGTTCCATCTGAACGAGAGCGGAGATCCATCTTCAAAGTCAACAGAAATCAAATGGAAATCAGGAAAGGTGTGTGTGTGTTGAGTATTTTTTGTTGTCAGGGTGGTAGTATTCTCATTATCCTCAATCAGAACATTTCCAACTTTTACAGTTTAGCTAGTATGGGTTGTATCAGAGCAGCATGACCTGACCGGACCTGATTATGAACTTGCACAGTGGACATTTTCAACAGGTAATCTTTTTATTTGTCTCTGTGTGTTTGTAGGACCTGACCAAGCGCTCAAGCCAGACACAGAACAAAGCAGGAAGGAAGAGGCAACATGAAGAGCCAGAGAGCTTCTTCACTTGGTTCACCGATCATGCCGATGCTGGCGCAGATGAGCTAGGGGAGGTCATCAAGGACGACATCTGGCCAAACCCTCTGCAGTACTACCTGGTATGTTTACGACCAGCAAATTCAGTGCTTATTAGAATGCTTAATGTATTCTTGCTTGTAGCATATTTATTTCCCTAGATGCCACTTCTCACAATAAGCGGGCATATTTAATCTGTCCGTTTGTTCTTTTATTGAAATGTTATCTTTGGTGTTGATGTTCCAGGTGCTGTATCTGGCTAATAAACTGGATTCCAGTAACCAGAGCAGGAAACTTTCAGTTGCGTGTGTTATAACTGAGAAGACAAATGTACTGAAAAGTGATTGTTATCCCCAGGTTCCTGATATGGACGACGAAGAGGGTGAAGGTGAGGACGACGAAGAGGATGAGGAGGGTCTGGAGGACATTGATGAGGAGGGAGATGAAGACGGAGAGGAGGATGAAGAGGATGATGGAGAAGATGGAGAGGTAAAGGGATAAAGTCTAGAAAACAGGTTTTGTTTGCAGTACTTTTTCAGCACTCACTTCACTGTTTGTCTTACTCTCTCAGGATGACGAAGGAGAAGACGACTAAGAAATAACATCATCTACCCAGACCCTCAACCTTCTATTCCCTGTTTGGTTTTTCCACTCATGTTCGGGAGCAAAGGTTTTACTTTTTTTTTTTTTTTTTTTTTTTTTTACTTTTTAACTTTTTTTTTTTTTTTTTTTTTTTTTACTTTTTTTTGTGCTTCATTTTCCATTCTGAAGCCTCTTCACCTGTTGGTGCCATGTTATGTTCTCCTTTGATTCATCTAAGGCCAATGGCACTTTGCCCTGAATTGTGAGTACCATCCCCAAGGTCATCTCGAAAATAATAAATAAAAAAAAGTATAAAAAATAGAATCAGCGCGGCATCCTGAGTAGAATTTGAAGACAATTCACACAGAGTTCCTTCAGTTAAAGGTTGTGTGGTAAATTGACTAAAGCCATGGTGTAGTGACCTAGCGCTAGCAGACCTCAATATTTTTTTTTTTTTTTTTTTTTTTTTTTTTTTTTTTTCCCTCATATAATTTTTATTTTATTTTATTTTTTTCAGTTGGGGCGTTGATCCCTTGAAAAAACTGTTATTTTTCCCCTATGTGGTTAACGAGTACCAGCTCATTCCTTTGACTTGTAATGTTTAGGGGGCGGGGGGGTGGGTGGGCTAAGCTGGGGAGGGGCAGGAGTATGTTGGTTATTGGGGAGAGTGGTTATTTTGACATCATTTCTATGGGACTTTTTTTTTTTCTTTTCATTGTATTGTTTTACAGATATCCATGAGATTTGAAATGACATTTTTAATAAAGAACAAAATGGAAAAAAAAAAACAAGCTTGTAAATTTTGGCCCCCACTGCTTCATGGGTAAAAAAAAAAAAACCTGTTATCTCATAGAATTTACATTTAATCACCCTCTCCTTTTCCGCTGGGGGGAAAAGAAACTGTTTTAAATTTGAGGTGTACAACTTGCTTTGTTACAATAATAAAACTTACTGTGTATACACGTGTGGGAGTCTTCAAACTAAGGGGATGCATAGAAATTTATTTAAAAAAAAAAAAAAAAAAAAGTAGCAGCAAAGGCACCTGGGTAAATTGTACAGTCAAAGTCCATCAACTCGTGAAGGATTTTGGAGTCATTAACAAGCTTGAAGCAAAGTCTTCTCTTAATAGTCGATGGGTGATTAAAGCCAAGAAGGTGTGCTCCGACGCCTCAAATTTGGTTTTAGTGATCGTGTCTGGCCAGTTGCTGGGTTGGAAGGCCCAACCTGGAGTGAGAAACAAAACCAATCGGTTATCTTAAAACACACCTGTTTATAAATCATTAAAATATAGCACATGGGTTCCAACAAGTGCGAGGTCGTGACCTGTAGGGAATGAAAAGCATTTTTCTACTGATTGCTCAATATTCGTAACTTCTCTTTCAAATGAAGAGATTTGAACTTTTCACCTGCTCCCACTTAGGAGATAAAATCGGTAATTGTGGCAGAGTCATAAGAATTTATTTAAGTGTGTATTTCCTGGAGAAATCTGATATGGAGCAAATAAGAACTTACTATACTAAATCCAGAATATACCAAATGAATGGCATAGATAAAATAATATTTCTGAGTATTGAGTATGCACAACTTACTTTTCAATGGGCTACAACTAATTACATTCATTATTATCATCGATAAACCTGTAGATTTATTTTCTTGGTTAATTATTTTGTCTATAAATTGTCAGAAAATTGCAAAATCTATTTGGGTATGTTACAAAACAAATCTCCAAAGATTTTCAATTTACTATAATGTATGACCAAGAAAAACATCAAATCTTCACAATTTGTTGAATCTAGTGACCAGTCAAATATGTGGAATTTTTTCAAAAAGAAGTAGTAATTCAATTGTCTAAATAGTTGTTTATTTGTTGTCATTGATTGATTAATCACCGCAGCTCTATTGTTCAACATTATTGCTCCATAATTAAGACAGTAAGTCTTTAACACACATGGAGCAAATACAATTATTTAAGAAGTTACATTTGTCTTCAGTTGTAATTTTAACATAATTAAGATTAACTAGCTAGAATATTTCTACTGTAGTTATTTGAGTGCATAACTTTTGCACAAATTTTCTTTATATTTTGATTTACTCAAAGTTAATTGTTATAAGATAATTGGGAAGGTAAATATTATTTCAAAGTATTGAAGCCTTATCAGACCAATACAAGTATTTATTAAGAGGTCAGGATTCTGTGGGTTTCAATTTTGATTTGAAAAAGTTATCCAGATTAAAATGGACAGCATTAGTACAAGTATTTAATAAGACTATTCTAAGTTAAGTGAGAGTGCATAACTTTTTAGTTTACTGATTTAACCTTTTTAACATAGTTTTAATTACTAAATTTGATTACTAGTTTGTGGCATATAAGTATTGGTTGAGTATATTTCAGTGTTTTTAAATAGTAATTAATTATCACATATTTGTCGTCGCTGTGAATATTCTAACTCACACTCGCAGCTCTTTTGTGGAAAACTGTTTATTTCTTGATGCGTCTCATTTCCCAGAAACAGCTCTGTATTCAAACTACTATCAGTAATAACTTAGTTGTTTTAAGTTAAAGGTTTTAAATATGTTTACTTTATTTTCGCACCATTCCCGGTTTATACCCACCTAAATGAGTTTTACACCGAGGACAGGTGGCCACGGTCCACGAGAACCCCGGGAACCAGGAGAAGTGTTTATCTGCCGGCCAGTGCTGGGTAACGTCCGCTTTTCTGAACGTAATCACCTCAAACTGGTGTCCGTGGGGATTTTCAAAAAGCTGGACGTTAACCCTTCGACCCCCGACCTGCGTGTCGTTGCGGCTGGACAGTGCCAGCCGGCTGGGGACAAAGTGGATGTCCGTCCCGACCGCCAACTCGTGTCCGCACGCCCTGCACAATAACAGGGTGTCGGTGCTGGTTCCCACCTCGTCCGCGGCTGCAGCACACGCCTCACCGGGCTGGTATGCAGCGGGATAAAAGAGTAGTACAAAGGAGATATACTGTATTATTATTAACCTCTCCAGCTGCTGTACCAGCAGCCGCAGGCTCCTTTTGCATCTCATCGCTGCGTCGCACGCACATGGACGGCTGAAGCTAGCAGCTTTGTTTTTAGCTGAGGCGGTTCAACGATGAGTTGGTTACAAAATACCAATCGAAAGTACATCAGATTTATTACTTAAGCATGTGGACTCGGTCAAGAACCTGCAGCGTAAATATACTAGTAAGCCATATGGTGATTTGTGGACTTAAACCGCGGCTAATAGCTAATGAATTGAGCGTTAGGTAGCTCTGCAGGCTAACTAATGTTCGGAAGTGCTGTAGAAAGAAACAGGAAGTACAGTCATCTCAACCATTTCCTTCTCTTAACTGCGAACATTACACTTCAGCGGTTACATAACCATTAAATTGGTGCTTACCGTAGTACAAAAGTCATTTAAGTTACACATTAACTATCAGTTGTAGTTCTGTAGTTGCTTTACAGAGTAATACTTATAATACGTTTACTCAGCGAGCACTTTATTAGGAACATCATATTAATACTATGCAGATTCCACAAGATGTTGAAAACTTTACTTTGAGATTGTGCATGAAGTATAATTCTTCTGCACTTGTTGACGTTGTATAATGAAAAATGCCAGTTTAAGGGGTATTGCCTAATTTCATTGTCCTCCTTATTCTGAGTGTAAATGTATGTTGACGTTTGTGAGCTCGTTCTTCATTAGCCGATGCTGCATAAACGCTGTTAACGCTTTGCGTCTGTTATTGTCCCATTAAATGAAGACGTGCAATTCAATTCAGCGCAACAAACCGTCAGTTTGTTCCATTGTCCAACCTGTACAATATAAAAATTGAACAAGGAAATCAAGAGCCGGAAACAGAAACAGGTCGTCTTCAAAGTAAAAGTTGAGTGTTTTGAACAAACGTCCAGCGGTAAATTTAAGGAGAGCTAAGCTAAATATATAAACAAACGGCAAATAATGAACACAATTCATAACTGTTATCGATGTTTAACTGCTAGCCCACAACTGATCGGGAATACATTTTCAATGAACACTGGAATTATTATAGAGTCTTGCGATTCGTGTGTGTAGCTATTCATCAATTTATTAATTTGATTATGGTTACTCAATCTGTTACTTTGGGTATTTAAAAATTTTTTTTACTTAAATAATAACGTATACTTGTGAGATCAACTTGAAAAAAACAACTGTCTAGTAAAATAAGTCTTATACGAGTTGAAACCGTACAATGGCAATCAGAAAAAAATACTCAAATTATAGATGTGAAACTAAAAATCCTTTATTAATATATGGATACACCAACGCGTTTCGACTTACAGAGTCTTCAAAAAACAAACAAGTAATGACAATAGAAACAACAAGAAATAATATTAATAAAAAAAAACATTTAAACTGCATCAAACACATATGAGCTGAGAAAGAAAACAGAATTATGAATAATAAGACTGTAGGCTGGGGAGAAACTAATAGTAATGTAGACAAATAAAGTACACTAAACTCAGGCCTGTGAAATAAAGTATAAACAATAATATCACAGCATAAATCAGGAGAATGACGTGATGATAGTACACAGACTGGGAAACCGCATATAAGTGGAAACATAGTCTAAAACAGTTTAATATCGCATTATCACATATCAGAGAAGTTCCCCAATTTATATGAGAAAAATCTAAATGTGAACAACAATATGGAAACAATAAAAAATACTGTAGAAATACGCATATTGTATATCATGGTAAGTAAAACAGTTTATAGAAAGGGGCTAAAATCTATTTCATCATTTAGGCCTCGGAAAGAGGTGGCCCTGACTGTGTATCCAAAATGTCTCCTGTTGAAGGAGAGGTTTGAGTCTATCGCCCCCCCTTAATAGTCTTAAAACTATAACTTCAGTGACCATGGCTTTCAGAGAGTCTGGGTTAATGTGGCCAACAGCCTTGTAGTGTTGTAACCTTCAGGGAACGTTCCCCAAGGGTTATCTGTTTGCTGAGGCTGTGGCATTCAAACCATGATTAATTGGTATTAAGGGGCCCAAAGTGTGACAAGAAAATATTCACCACACCGTTACACCACCAGCAGGAGCAGCCTGGACTGTTGACACAGGCAGGTTGGGTGCATGGATTCATAGACGTACCCTACCATCTGCTGCCTCAGCAGAAATCCAGATTCATCAGACCAGGCTACGGTTTTCCAGTCTTCAACCGTCCAGTTTTGGTGAGCCCATTAACTTCAAGGTTGGACATGTTGTTCAGCATAATTCTATTTTTTTTAATTTCCTCTCCCATTACTCATCTCATGACGCCACAGATTTATCTGATGACCCTTTGAAGAGGCCCACTGGACTAAACTCACTAACACTCGTTTGAACTCGCTCCACCTCTAACAGCTACAGCAGTAAAATGCTGCTTACACATTGTTATATGGTTGTAACTTAAGATTGATTTCATCATCAACAACTTTGATTATTTTGATTATGTTTTTGTTTAATTGATAAACCTTTTTGTTAATAAAATAGTGGAAAATGTTAAAGTAAAAATCCAAGGTAATGTCTGTCTCATTATTACTTTGTTTACTTCGTCATGTACAGAACAAAAATCATAAAATCCTCACATTTGAGATGCTCTGCATTTTTTTCTAAATAAACGACAAAAAATGTATTATTATTATTAGTTGATTAGTTGAATGTCAAAATAGTTGTCCATTGCCCAACCTCTACCCAACGTGCACAAATGTATAAAGTATTACAGTATATCACTACCATTGTATTGAATATACACATTGTAAAATGTATATATGAACACATTATAGCTATGGGTCTTAAGTCTTTATTTATCTATTTTATTCTATTTATTTATATGCTTTATTTACTCTATCTGTTATCTATCCATCTAAAGTAAAAACAAAGATTAGAGAAAAGTAAAAACAAAGGTTTTTAGATATATTTTTCTGATTAATCTGGTAATGTACTTACTTTAGTAGGATTTTGAAAGCAGTACTTTTGCTTGGAATATTTTTAAACTGTCGTCCCGCTACTTTTACTAAGGCAAAGGATCTGAGTACTTCTTCCATTTTAGAATAATGTGTGAAAACTCCCACACCGGAATAACGGGTGTTTTTCAAGTTCTTCCCATTTTGCGGAAATTCCCTGAATGCAGCATTACCCGTTACTTTCAGTGGTTACCACGGGCAACGCTTATCGAAAACTCGCTTCCACCAATCACAGAACGAGATCTTGCAAACGAGCCAATCAGCGGGCTCGTATGTCGATCCAAACAACCGTCGGCTACGCAGACAAAAGTCGAGATTTGTGCTGGAAACATGTAACTTAGCATGCTAATAATGTGATGTCCGGCTTAAATACTCGTCCGGTTCGGTTTCATTTATCTCGAGACGCGGTCTGAATGTTGTTGTAACGTCTCGAAAGAATGAAAACCCGGGATTCATCACCACCGCAGCCGCCGCCGCTGTCGACGCCACCGGTTCATGTCCACGTACCGGAGACCACACCTGTACATGTTCATATGAGAAGGAGTCCCAGCAAGACCCCACAGGTTGTTACCCTGGTTTATTAAGCTGGAAATACAGTTACTTTTTTTACTGCTTATACTGCATGGTGATCAAAGTTTAAACATCCTATTGCACTTATTTTGTTGCTCATATGTGAAATTCATCACCGAGGTCACCTGATTTAAGCTGCACTGATTTGTTCGTTTCTTAACATTACCTATAGGTGATTATCTACCGGGCACACAACGAGGGTTTCACAGGATTCACCTGCAAAATGTCAGTGAAAGAGACTCAAAACGTCAACAAGTCATAAAAGAGATGCAAAATGACCAAAAAGAGTCACAAAACATCAACAAAGAGTCATAAAAGTAACACAAAGTGACCCAAAAGGTCCACAAAATGACCGTAAAGAAACAAAACAAACCCACGATGAGATGCAAAATGACCATAGAGAGACACAAAACCAACACAAAGACACACCAAACAGCTTCAAATAGAAGCACAACGATCAAAGAGACACGCAAAATGACCACAAAGACACTAAAAACATCCTTAAAGATGCTTGACACGACCATACAGATACAAAATGATCTAAAAAGGATGCAAAATATCTATAAAGAGACACAAAACCACCACAAAGTGACGCAAAACTGCCTCGAATAGAAGTCAAATGATCACAGAGACACACAAAGTGACTACACAGAGACAGAAACATCGACAAAGACGCTCAAATTAACCACAGAGATGCACAATGACCACAAAGAGTTGAAAAACATCCATACAGACAAAGACAGACAAACCATACAGATACAAAATGACTTCAAAGAGATGTGAAATGTCTATGAAGAAACATAAAATGACACAAAGAGACACACAACCACCTCAAATAGAAGCAAAATGATAAGAGATGCAAAATTACCATAAAGAGACAAAAACATCGACAAAGACGCTCAAAACGACCATAGAGATGCAAAACAACTCCACTGTACTCCTCTGCAGGAGGGTGGGGGTTGTGTCATAGTCTCTTCAGGACAGTACCTTGTCATTTGTCTATTTTAACACAGTTTTACAGAGTTCAGATTTAAATAGACTAAATTATTCAGAAGATGAGGATGCTTCAGTAAGTCTTGTGTTTTACCGGTCTCTTCTGTCTCCTTCTGCAGAACAGGGCAAAAGATGTCCAGGTGAAGGGAGAGGGAGGGAGGCCAAAGGCCCGGTCGCCGTGGATTCCTCCTGGAAGACTGTCCTGCCGAAGAGATGCGGGCTCATACAAGTGCCAGGTCTCTTTATACACTTTACAACTGGGGAGAGGAGGGGATATTCACTGCTTGTTTACTGAGGACAAAACGTTTGCTGTCATAACTTCTTCAAATTGTAAATTTTTCATTTGACACAGAATCACGTAGAGCAGAAATCTGGCCCGATTCCTCCCCTCTCGCCTCCCCAGAGAAACGTGAGCTGTGTTTGTTTGTGTGTTATGAGCAGAGGAGCCGAGTGCAGCGTCAGTCAGGACATCAGCGTGATGGAGAAGAGCAGGAAGAAGAGGCGGCTGCCGTATCCAACAGCCTCAGCATCCTACTCCAAGAGCAGGAAGGCATCCGTCGTTCAAAGAAGTAAGAGTCGTGTCAACGTTCCCTAAAATACCAAAGTACTCAAAACAAACCCGTCCTGATACACTTGAGTAATGTTCAAAACAACTTCAGATCATATGTTTGTCATTTCTGGGGACATTTTCCTTTAGTGGATACGGCAGCTGTTGTCGTCGCTCCTCTCAAAATTAAAAATCGAAAGCTTTTCTCCCAGGACGTCTGCCTGAGATCAGACAGATTTTTGTGTCAACAGTTGCCAACAATAGACTCGACATTTAAAATTTGGCATAGTGCACTTTGTTAGTCTACTCTTTCCACTGACAAACTGTTGCACATGTGCTTTTTTTTATTAGTTGAACTGTGTTTGTTAGTCAGCACTGCAGAGTAATATCCTGTGGAACAGCTGTAGAACATAAAACCTGCCGAAGGAGTGAACTCACTGTCATCATAAATGTTAAGCAGTGGGAGAAGTACTCAGATCATTTACTTAAGTAAAAGTACTAATACCACAGTTCAGTAATACTCTGTTTTTTCCTTGTAAAAAGTTGCATAAAATAGAAATAAACATATAAAGTGTAAATACCTCAGAATTGTACTTAAGGACAGTACTTGAGTAAATGTCCTTAGCTTCTTTCCACCACTGTAAAGGTTTTTGTTTGGATTAGTCGCCTTTCTTTCTAAAGATACAGGCCAGTGACGAATGTGCCCCATGTGATGACAGCTGTGTTCACACACTGGCGTTTCCCTTTGATATTTTTCCATCTTCCTTACAGGTCAGATTCCAGGGGTCAACACAGAGAGACGGACGTGCTCCTGAGGACGCTCGTAGAAGCAGAGATCGACGGCGTAGCTGTAGCTAATCAGCTGACATCCCTGAAGGAAACTATCGACAGCCTGGCGAAGGTGAGTCCGGTGACACAGCTGGTCAGCAGGATGCAGGATAGATGCTCAGTGAAGGATGGATGAGGACTTATTTTCCTGGACGCGGACATATCTTTATTGAGTCACTTATTTATTTTTTAGGACAAGCGGCTGTCCAAGCTGCACGCAGCTTCACTGGGACGGCAGCAGGAGTTGTTGTTCGAGAAGATAGAGATGTTCGACAACACCAACCAGAGCCTTCGAGAGCTCCTCAGAGAGTGGAGTCAACACGAGGTACAGGAAGTTACAGCTGTAAATAGTCGACAATCTTAAATCATTTATCAAGTAAAAATGCCAAATGTTTCCTGGTTCTTCCTCCTCAAATGTGAGAATTTCATTTTTTGTTTGATTTCACTGAAAATGAAATATCTTGGACTGTTGGTTTGAAAAAAAACAAGTGATTTAAAGACAATCAATCAAGAGAAGAATCAGCAGATTAATTAATAATGGGAGTAATCATTAGTTTTCACCGTCAGTCTCAAGGTAAGTGTGTTCACACTGGTTTATTTAATTTGTTTATTCTGTTCAAGTTTTCTGCTTTTGTTCTTTCGTTAGTTGATTTAGCTGCAGGAATGAAGCCTTTTATTCTGAAAGGAAATCAAAGCGGAAGATAAAATTAAAAGAAAACTTTGAGCTTATATATGACCTCTGGTTAGAAAAGAAAATATACAGAATTTACAAATGACAGCAGAAGCAAACACGGCTCGTCTGCTTGTATCCACAGAGAGATTCACTGGTGCGGTCAGAACAGAAAGACGCCTTGAGGAAGAGACTGACCGACAGCGAAGCAGAGAACATTGTGAGTGACGTACGCTGCTGTTTTGTCCCTTCATCCATAAATTCACCTGCCACCAGGTAACATCACGGGAGGTTGTTCCTGTGTCTGTTCTTCTCTTGCAGCGACTCGTGGCCAAACTCACCCACAGGGAGAAAGAGGCGTCGAAGCTCGCCGAGCATTTGGACTTTGAAAGGGTTGAGAATTATAACTGGAACTGTGTCTTTGTTCGCTTGTGACGTTGATTTGTCTCACATAGTCAGATAGAGGTTCATCTACAAGAAACTCACCCTCTGCTTCCCTCTGTCGTGGCAGGACACGGTGAAGACGACGGAGGAGCTTTCGAGAATCCTGGAGTCAACGCGCGACCATCTGGAGTCTCAGCTGAGCCGAGCAGAAGCCGAGAAGACCCAGCTGGCTGCTCAGATTCAGGTCTGTGAGCACCGAATACAATCCTTTGGTTTGCTCTGATTTTCATTTCTGTGGCGTGCCAAACATGTGGAACCGTCTGACATCAGTAACACTGTGTTGGTGCTCTTTTAAAAAGTATATTTATACAAACACTGACAGAAAAGAGCTGCTTGTTTTCCTCACACAGTTCACATGTGAGCAGCCTGCTCGCTCTCTGTGCATCGTCCATAAGAACAAAGTCAATATCAGATGCTGTTTTTATCTCACTAAACAACATATTGCACAACCCCCCCCCCACACACACACACACACACACACACACACACACACACACACACAAAAAGAAAAAAAGGAATAGAAATTATGACTCATTTTCTGTATCGTTCAGACGACACACTGAACAACTCTGCTTTTCAACAGCGTGTGGTAAAACACCAGATCTCAGCTGGACACATGGAGATCTTTTACTTTTAGATAAATTCAGTAAAACAAGATTTCATTACAGTCCAGCCCGAATATAGTGACAAATAATATAATATAGTTTTATATACTATAATTTTTTATATATATATATAATTATATGATTGTGTTTTCTGTTTCAAGTATAAGTGATGCTGCCACTAAACAGAACAATAATTATAATAATTTGGTGTGTTGCATACAACAATGAAAACCAGCAACATCTTTGTCCAAAAACAATTTCCTGATTATTCAGAATAACTCACAGTTTTATGGAATATTGTATTAAAATAGGACATTTTGATATTTTTATTTCACTCCAAAAACTTGGCGCTACTAAATATGAAGTGCAGATCTACATGAACATGTGAGGGTCTTTATTACACCTTAAACCTGGTTTGTGCAGAGGATGCAGCAGAGCCAGGAGCAGCAGCAGGAGAAGCTCCAGACTCTGCAGGAGGAGCTGCAGACTCAGAGGCGGCAGCGGGGCGAGGAGGAGGGGGAGCAGGGGAGGAGAGACCGGGAAGCTCTGACCCTGCTGACCCAGCAGGCCGAGCGTGCCGAGGAGTCCGCCAGAGAGCGAGCGGAGAAACTGAAGGAGAAGGTCAGTATTCAGAGCTGACCCCACCCCCACCCCCCCTCCCCCTCCACAAGGTCTGAAAATCACAGAGCAGCAGGGCGGTGGGGAACATAAAGGATGATTTCTGCATCCCTCAGCAGAAAATATAGATAGATAGATAGATAGATAGATAGATACTTTATTTATCCTCTCGGGGAAATTCATGTGTCTGCAATGTAATAATTGTCAGAGGCTCGTTAGTCACCAAACGACGCCGGGGTTCCTGAGGCTGGTCCACAGACCGCTCTGTGGTTTATCCTGCGTCATGCAAATCAGTTGTTTTCTCACGGGTGGCCATGACTCGTCTGATCTGAGGCTTTTATGCAAATCAAATTCAAAGGAAGTTGGGTTGTTGTTCCAGTGAAACACAAAACACACAAATCTAACAAACACAGGTGTGAGAGCAGGTCACCGCCGTGGCTCAGCTGCTTTGACTTAACTGACAATCTGGTCTTTGTGAGGAGTTCCTTAAATATTCAGCACTTTGCAGTAAATGTGACATAAATAGTTTCTATTATTAACTTCACAGAAAGTGCAGCAAAGAGTAAAAAGGGAAGTCAGATCAGTATTTGCTGTGCCTCTCCCCCTTTGACTTTAAACCGGCTCCAGTAGGTCGTTCCAGCATCTTGGAGAACCCATGGTGTCTCTGTGTCTTCATGTGATCCCAGACTGACTCCATGATGAGTTCAGGGCTCTGCGGGGGGGTCAGACCATCTGCTGCAGGTCTCATTGTTCTTCTTCTATGACTCTGTCTGTGTGTTTGGACTCATTGTCCTGCTGCTGAACGACTCTGAGACCAACCAGACGCCTCCTGATGTTGTTGTGTGACCCTCTTTCACAGTACATGTATATCCTGACATGCAAAACGAATCCCAGGCACGGAACATGACTTGAAAGGCGAAAACATAAAAAATAATTAGGAGACAATTTCTGTGTTTTATTTTAAAGGAAATCCAGTTGGCTCAAGCTCTGTCCACATCCAGTGACTGGTGCCTCCGACACTCTAAAGAAGCAGCTGCCAAAGCGCAGCTGGAGGAGGAAGTCTCTGCTCTCAGATTGTGAGTGCTCTCAGAAATATACAGTGTATATATATATATATATAGATTGTACTATATAATCATCTCTTATTTTCTGTTTTGTTTTTATTCAAACGGTTCTGACCCGACCTGTTCGTAGTGCAGTCCAGGATGGGGACGGGGGGAGGATGAGGGTTAGGAGGGTTTTTGTTTGAGATTTCTATGTGTTTCTGTTTTATTATTTAGGTAAGGAGACAGGTGACGCTCCGAATATGACTGTATTACTCTTTGCCATATTTTTTCTTACTCTTATGTACTTTTATGCATTATATTGCACTTTTGCTTATTTTTTGTTCCCTTACTTACCTCAGTTGTTTATGTCCTGTAGGTTTAATCAGTGTTTTGTCTGATTTAAATGTTTTTCTATTTTATTTTTATTTTATTCTCCTACATGTTTGGATTTATTGTCTGTTTATACATAAGAAGCACTGAATCTAAGCAAGTAGATGCTTCATAATAGAAATATTTGAAACAATTGGTTCTGATCCAAAAGCACCGTATCTTTGAACTTTTAAGTTCAGTTTTGACTTTTGACCTGCGTCCATCACAGCCAGGCGACAGAGCTGAATTCCCAGCTTCGCTCAGCGGAGGAGAAGAGCCGGGCGGAGAGGGAGGAGCTCAGGGATCAGCTCCAACATCTCAGCGCTGAAAACACCTCCACCAAGCTGGACAACCAGAGACTCAAGGTACCTTCAGGGAAAAAAAAAAAACCCACAACAGCTTTCCTCTTCGACTGTTTCGTCATTTCTGTGGCAGTTATTATATAAACGCATCGTGTTTAGGGAGAGTTGGCGTCATCCGAGGAGAAGCTCAGGGGGCTTCAGTCTGAAGCTCGTCAGATGAAATCATCCATCAAAAAGTATGAAAACGTGGTGGAGAAATACAAGAAGAAGGTACAGTCTGACTCTCAGTGATGCTGCTTCACTTTACACCCGCAACTGTAAATATATAACGATATAAAACCCTAACCCTCTCTGCGCAGGTCCAGCAGGCTCGTCTGGAGTCGGAGGAGCACTGCCTGAAGCTGGAGATGACGCAGAGGGAGATGCGGGAGGTGGAGACGAGCCTGGAGAGGGAGAAGGAGCAGGTGAGGAGGGAGCTGCTGGGTCGGCTCAGAGAGCTGGAGACGCTGCCCGACAGACTGAGGAGGACCGAGCAGCAGCTGCGAGACGCCCAGCAGGAGGCCGACGCCCACGAGAGGAGGAACGTGGAGCACAACTCCGCCCTCTCTGAAGTCAGACACAAGGTGCATAAGAGGCTGGAAGACAGTGAATATTAGAGGAGAAAAGGTTTACGTACTTTCAGCAGCTTGTTTTACAATCATTTTCATAAATTCTCCTTTAAATTGAGCGTCGGTCGATTTAGTTCTCCCAGAGGAGTTTGCACATCAGCACATTCTTCATACAGCCTGAAGGCCTCCTCGTGGTAACAGGAGTCTCCACACCTCTCATCGCAGGATGGGCTTAAACTAAACAATTCCAGTTATATTAAAAATGTCTTATGTTTTCATTGGGTCTTGTGTAAGAAGTGAAATGATGGTAACATCACAAATGACCTGAATTTACCTTCTGATTAAGAACGTTTGGAGCAACAGCACCTGTGTCTTTCTCGATAGCACCCAGCAGAGGGCAGCAAAGCACAGTGTCGTTACTTTCTCAAATAGAAGGATTTCATTTGTTTGTGTTGAAAGAATTTACATAAGACAAATATGATATAAGAATAAAACAAAAGGGGAATGTTTATGTTACTTTAGCTCTTTCACACTTGATAGTAAATACTAATTAATCTCTGTTACAGTGACGGCTACAGACAGATGTTTAAGAGAATGACACTTTTAAAATTCATGCTTCCTGAGGTAATACAGCAAACTGTGATCTTTAAGAGGAAAAGAAAAACTTGTGTTTCACTTTCCTCTCAGCTCTCACCTGTTACAAGAAACCGTCTCACAAACGACCTAATTCAGTTCGACTGAGAGAACTATTGGCTGTAACAATGCAGGATGAACGCATGTGGTATTTTTGCCTTTTATTTGAGAGCAGACAGTAAACAGCTGTCAGTAAGAGGTGGATTTCTATCATGGCTGACCCTGTGTCGGCCGTTCATCGTGTTCCTCCCCAGGTGGAGCAGCAAGGCGCTCAGCTGGAGACGTTTCAGCAGAGGAACCTGCTGCTGCAGGAGGAGAACAGCGTTCTCAAGGAGAAAATTCACAACTTAGAGAGGTAGAGGCAGAACGGACAAAACCGTCTCTGAAACATACATCTATGCATTTCTTATATAAGAAATAAAGGGACATAATTGATTTCGTGCTCTGTTTGTTGCAGGAGGCTGGAGGACGTGAAGGTAGAAAACAGAGAAATGTCTCAGGTTCTCAGCTCAAAGGAAGCAGGACTCCGCAGCGTTCAGCAGCAGCTGGAGGAGAAGACGTGTGAGTGCAGCGTCCTGTCCAGACAGCTGCAGCAAACACTGGACGACGCACAGAGACAGGTCTGAAACCATCACATCACAACTTTAACCTCAATCCAGAGAGACATTTAACTGAATAGAAACACTTGACTCATACACTCGATGATACCTGCTACAGTCCTACCATTTCCACTTCCCTTCTCATCTTGTTTGTGTTGTTGTGATGCAGAAAAGCACGAAGCATGAAGCTCTTATGACCCTTTAATATTTAAAATGTGCTGCTTATTGTGGTTTTAAGGACTACACACAACACAACACAACACAACACAACACAGCCAGATTAATGGTCGATGACAGCTTCCACACATCTCCGTGTTTCCCGTGTTTGTATCTTAATCTGACTGATGATGACATTTTGTTTCACTTTATTTATTCATGAGATGCTTAATAAATCAGAGATGTGGGTGGAAATTCAGACGTCTAGAATGCTCTACTCAAAGTTGATTAATTATTGGCAATACTGCTGTTTATCATAAGAATAAGAACAATAAAGGTCAACTCCAGCTGTTTTACACAACAGGAACAGTTTACTTTTTGAGTGCTTTGTGAAAACAGTTGTATGTATTTTCGACGTGTCGACAGATTTGTAAAAGAAAGCTTGGATTACAAACTTCGTCCATAGAGTTTAGCCTTTATATAACTGTCTATAACTCCATTAATATGGCAGCTTTTATACAAGAAACAAGTTCCAACCCTTGTGTCTTATTGTTGTTTACAAACTGAAGTTTTGAAGGTTTCATTTCCTAAACAAGGTTCATGTTTATACCTTCAATAACAAAACTGGAGTTAGATTAATGATAGATAATTATGAAATGTAAATATACACAATCAGGAAAGCTTCAGTTCAACATTTTGCCTCTCTCGTCTGCAGGTTGACGACAGCGTGCAGAAGGTTTTGGCCAAAGAGAGAGCGTCCCAGTCGAAAGCTTTGGACCTGCAGAGCCAGCTGAGCCGAGCCAAAACAGAGCTGAGTCAGCTGCAGCGAAGCAAGGAGGAGGTACGTCACTGTGTCCCTCCTCAGTTCTGTCATGATCAATCCTCAACAGGATTGACTGCTGAGAGAAGGGAATGAGTGAATTAACCTGGTGCTGATGAATTTTAATGTTGCACACACCACGCAACAAAATCCTGTTCCGTGTTTGTTCTCCTTCAGATGGAGCGTCGTTTCAAGAGTCAGCTGCAGAACCTGAAGGACAGATTGGAGCAGTCGGACTCTACAAACCGCAGTCTGCAGAACTACGTCCACTTTCTCAAAACCTCGTATGGAAATGTGTTTGGTGACTCTTTGCTTACAAGCTGACTGCAAGATTCACCGACCTGACCAGCATTTCATCCCTCAGCAGTGTAGTAGAGCTAAATTACATTTATTGAATATCTACTTTTAACTTAAGAGTTTTATATTATCTATGAAATTAATAAAGCTTTCTTTTTATGAAAATCTTTGTAAGGATTGCTTGATTTTAGTCACCTGGAACTTATTTATATTGTTTTAAATAAATAACTTTTCTGAGTTATTGATTCTGATTGCATCGTTTTCTGAAAATCTTCCATCTTTCATATTCCTAAATTTGAAAACTTCAATTATGAGAAAATGTATGCATTTTGCTGACATGAATGAAACTGAGAGTAACGTCCTTTGTACAGAGTGAAACGTGGGGAGTGAAGTACACGCACCAAGCAGCAGGCACATTCAAAACTTCTCCAGGAATTTTCTAATTTATATTTTAACATTTGTAATTGGGTTTGCGCTTTTTGGCCGAATTTTCCCATATGTCGTGTTGCAGTTAGCTTTGAAGTTATTGCGTGAGAGTTGAGTATTTATATGAGTACATTAAACAAATAAAAGATAAACAAATTAAAGACCGAATTAAGAAAACAGGCCGGCTCAGGGACTGCAATGCCCCCATTTCAGCCACCTATCCAGAAATACTCTCATTAGCGAAATAAATATTGTTATTGGATGGAATACATTTTATTGTATGCAATACTATTTTCTTATGTGACCATTAAACCTAAAACAAAATATAAAATATAAATATAAGGGGGATAGCAAGGCCGGAACCGTGGAGCCGCCATACCGCGTTTCTGGTCGGAGTGCAATTAACGTTGCCTCATCAGGCGGTTCAAAATTTAGCTCAGCGTTATCGTTAGTTAGTAGTTTTGGGGTTTTGTGTACGAGTCTGTCGGGATGCCTGCTGAAACGATGGGTAAAAAATGGGACGTTATAGAGGCTTTAAAAAATTCACCAAAGGGAAAAGTCACTTTCGACCCGCACTGGTCGGACAGGGGCGAGGTGAGTTAACCGCCGGCTAACTCTGATGCTAGCTAGCTAATGGCTAGTTCACGTTAGCCAGGCTAAGCTGCCCCCTGCCTGTTTACCTAATGTTAGATGACTTAACCACTGTTGATGTATTAATTAAAGTGACCGTTTGAACATTTAGCGAAACTATGGCGACCTGTAGTGACAACAGGACCACCACAGTTTGCTAAGTCACCGATACTGAACCAACAAACAGTAGAAGGAAGCACTTAAGTACATTTACTTTAGTACAGTGCTGAGTTACTGTCACTTTGATAAAAAAAAAATATACGAATATATGAAAAAAAATTATACATCATATACACGAAAAACATCAACAGCCACTAAAGAGTCAAGAAAACAACAGTGTGCAGATAGTAAACAGTGTACTAGTAGTATACAGATCAGAAATACAGTGTGCAATTTTAATGTTAAGAAAGTGTTCAGTGCAAAATGGCGGCGTATACAGTATAAATATGATATATACAGTGTGTAGTGTGTTCACCTTTCACACAGGTGAGCTGTTGTATAGTGTAATGGTGAGTTACTTTCATTTTCAGTTACGTAGGAGGGAAATATTCTACATTTTACTTCACTGTTTATATGACAGCTGTAGTTATTGCTTAAATTGCAGAAGGAGGTTTTTACCTTAAACAAAAAGTGATAAACTCATAAAGTGAAACCAGTTGTTGAAGGTTAAACTGGTGGGTCCAAAGTTTTTGGTCTTTCTCAAATTAAAAAAGTGTGTAGCTGTGTATGAAAGACACTCCCCCTCTAAACCGCTCAAATAGTCTCTTTTCAATAGCTGCTTGAGTCCCAGTATCAAATGTTATTTTCCCCAATTTTTTGCATACAACTGCATCTGACAGCCGTAGGTGCCTTCAGTGTTAAGTATATTGAAACCCAGAACTGTATGATTGTCAGTGTTATCTTGATCATCATGGTCCATCCAGAAACTCATGGCAAGAATCAGACAAAGGATCCTCACACTGTTCTGATGGCTCCCAGCAATTTTAGTTAATCTGCTTTTCATGTACTTGAATCTGAGATCTTTTTGTTAGAATATATGTGGAAACTAATGTTGATTTTTCAATGTATTTTTCTAATAGTGAATATTTGTGTTGAATTCATCTATACTTTTGGTGGTGTGTATATCAGTATATTTAAGACTCTGTGGTTGAGATGTCTGTGATATATTATTTAACCATTGGAGCTGAGTGTGTGCTTGTCCTCTCTCTCCTTAAAGAAATACAAGCCCAAAAGACTCTCAATGAATGAAATACACTTGAGTTATACTGTGTCTATGTTCTTGCAGCATATTATGGCAGGTTGTAAAGAGGCCATCAGCTTGTCCTCACGCTCTGGCATCATCTTGGAGCGAATCGGCTCCTCGCCCCTGCAGAAGTCCTGCTTTCTGGGCTCCATCTCCGGAGACTCCAGCCCTGGCTTGTCGGAGGAGATCCCCGCCTCCCTTTCCTCCACAGGATCTGTCCTTGACATCAACACTAAGCACATCACACTGTCCGCAGCCCTGTCTTTAAAGGCCGACCGTGAGCAGGTAAGTCTAAGTCTCTCCTCCAGACGTGAATACGTGCTGATCTCCCTATGTTCTTCTGTTCATTTATCAAATTACAGTGTAAATCTGGCAGGTTAAAGGAAGAGTTCACCCAAATTCACATTAGAACTTGATCTTGTCCAAAAAATTCTTAACACAAATTTTTTAATTTTATTATTTTTAAAAAAAAAAAATTTATTTTTGAGCTTTCAACCACATGTTGATAAGCAACTTTTTGTCCATTTGTTTACACTTTAGGTGCTATTGAGTTGTTTGCTGCTAAAGCAGGAGACAAATGAATTGTGAGATGGGATAACACATGAGTAAATAGAAGAAGAAAAAGTTCACGTTCAAACATGTTGAATTCAAATTAAGGCTGTTTGTGTAAAATAAAACAGACAGATATTTTACTAAATTCGGGTCTGAAAACCTGCAAATTGTCTGTTTCTTAAGGTGAACAAACTTAGTTTTATTCCCTGTGGCTCTGTCTGAACCTTGTCCTGAATTTTCTAACTGTCTTTTGCTCATTTTAACGTGCTGCAGGCTGTTAGTGATGAGGTGAAGGATGAAGATCCTGAGGCAGATGTCAGTGAGGTTTCCAGTCCTGCGTCACCACCTGCCATTTCCCTGCTGTCGCCCAAAGCCATGGAGATGGCCGGCTGCATTCTCAAAGCTGAGGAGAAATGTCGAGAAAAGGCAAAGGTCAGAGACGGTGATTTTATAAGATCAGCTCAACAGCCCTGTGACAAAAAGATGTTGGCTGTATATAATGTTTTTTTTATGTGAAATACATAATCTCACCTGTTGATATCTTAAATCTGACGCTCAGGTGGCGTTCAGACAGCGGCAGGAGATGCAGGAGAAGCAGCTGGCGGCGGTGGCGAGCGCCGAGTCGGAGCAGCTGAAACGCTTCGAGGAGCTCATGGAGCTGAAGCAGAGACAGGAGTGCCAGATCATAAGGGACATGATGGACAGAGAGTAAGGATGCAAAGCTCATGCTGTTTCATGTTTCTCAAATGTCACATGTGACTTTAACGGCGTGGTTTTCCTCTCTCTGCACCTCAGAACCAAAGAGAGCATCGGGCGCCAAGAGAAGCTGAAGGAAGAGCAGCGACACCGGATGAAGGTACGATCATTGGAGAGGAGACTGGTGTGAACGCCTCCCTAAAAAACAAATTCAACTGAAATCGCATCACTTTGAGACACTGGATAAAGATGGCTGCCTCGCAGGTTTTGTACCTTATTAATAAATTTTCTTCGTTGTCCTCGGCGTCAGATCCTGAACCTGCGGCTGAGGGAGGCGGAGCAGCAGCGCCTGCGGGAGGCGGAGCTGGAGCGGCAGCGGCAGGCAGAGGGCAGGGAGCGGCTACGTAACCTCAACACCATCCAGGAGGAGATCCTGCAGCTCAACCAGCTGCTGGAGCCGTCCACCCAGACCAACACCCATCTTCCACCGGCCGGCCTCAGCTCCTTCAGCACCCGCGGGAACCAGCTGTGCTCCCAGGTGTCGGAGGTGGTGAGAAAGACGGCAGAGGTCAGTTTAACTCCTGATGGTTGAAGCTCAGGTTTGGATCGTGGCAGCTTCCACACCGACAGCGGAAAACGTGGTTGTGTTAGAAGTTGTCAGATCTGGGTTTATATTTTCTTTGTTTTTCCCCCTCGGTTCAATCATCAGAGCAGGAAGATGATCAGACAGGTTGGAATTTAGTTTCCACATCCAAACTTATTTGGAAGAAAAAATAAACAGTAAAATTATCTTGATCTTCTTTTACACAGTTTTATTTTCTTAACTTGGACATATCATATTTATTTTAGGATTCTTTATTTGATTAAAGCAAAGTAGAACCACTTTGCCTCACCTGCTGCCATCGAGACCCGACCTCGGATAAGTGGAACAAAACGGATGGATGGATCATTTGATTGATCCGTGTGTCTATAATGTGTCAGATAATGTGAGAAATGCCCAAAAAAGAATTTCCCAAAGCCAAAGGTGATTTTTTTTCAAATATTTACAGTGAAATTAAAGAGAGAAAAGCAGCAAATCGACACAATTGAGAAGCTGCAACCAGAGGAGGAGAGAAAGGAAGAAAAGACTTTAAAAGATTGTTGATTCGATTTCTGAGGATCGATTAATCGAGTGTAAAATTCCCTGTACTGAATGCTCTGTATCGTAAACTCTGTTAGACTCTGGTTGAACAAGACGACTATGATGTCTGAAGTTGATGTCATGGTGCAGGTGAATAAAAAGCCGACTGGGAGGTGGAGTGAGAATGATGATGGATGATGGCACACATGTTCAGACGGTCTCTGCAGGAAGACATTTATTATGTTGCATTCAGTTGTTCACATAAAAAGTGATAGAAATAGTAAAGTATATAGTAAATTAGACTCAGGTTTCCCACTTCAGGACGAACCGAGACTCGATCCGGATCTCTGACGTGGATCATCCTGTCTGTGTGTAACCGTCTCCGCTGCGTCTTTTCTAGGGAGAGTTCCCCAGCGTGGAGGACATGACTGTGGCCGAGCGAGCCCTCCACGAGATGAGGGCGCTGATCCGGCTGATGCAGGAGGAGGTCGCCAAGGTTCAAGAGAAGAAGAAGAAGGACCAGGAGGAGGAGGAGGTGCGCAGGAAGCAGGCGGAGCTGCAGGTGCAGCAGGAGGCGCAGAAGAAGGCGGCGCAGTCGGCCAAAGAGAAGGCGCAGAGGAAAGGTAATGATAACGTTATGAAAAAGATTTTCCAAAACACAGTGGAAAATTTTCTTAAATCTGTCGACAACTCTGTAGTTAAATATGTAAAATTGAACGACTGCAAACCCCAGAATCATCACATTACAATGATTATTATTGATATATATTAATCTGTTAATATTATTGCGCAACATCTTCCCACAGGGCTGCAGAACAGCGCTGAAGACGGCACGTTGAAGTGGCTGAAGGAGCTGCAGGATTCAGCCGCTCAGTGCGCTCAGTCCTTCGAACAACTCAACTCCCCGAAAGACGCCCAGGTGGGTTCTTCTTCTCTGCATCAATGTTGGTAACAAAGCTGGGAAAGCCCCAACAGCCTCAGGGACGCACCAGTAATAAAAAGCACAATTGTAGACTAATAATAATAATAATGTAAGTAAGGTAAAGTAAAAATGACATCATAATGCAAAACAATGTAAATTAAAATCAAAGACAAATGGAAACAAGAAAAAAAACAACAAATACAAACAATAAAACTACTAATAACGATAATGACAACAGTTTTATCTAAAGTAAAAGTAAAACATTTCATTAATTTACATGTATATTAAATACATGTTTGCCTGAATATTATACAATATTTATATTATATATATATCGTCTCATATTTGACGACGGTTCTTTCTTTTTGAATGGAGAGAGCACCAGTGTCTTCTACAGAGAGTGGTGCATTGTGGGTTGTTTGTAGGCGTGATGTTGAGTGTTTTCAGTCAGTTTTAAAGTGTCGGCCCAGTTTAACCTGCAGACGTTGGTGATGATTGAATCGGAGCTCTCAGCGTCTCCTGAGAGAAAATCTGTCAAACAGAAGAAGAAGAAGAATCGCAGCCGTCACAGAGGATGAGCTCAGACTGAAAGTCTGAGAAACGGGAACTGTCAGAGAAAATGATTGTGACAGGAGAGAGCGTCAGTCTGCGTCTGAGAGACGAGACACACCAGTGTGGGTTTTTTGTGTTTGAACTGTGCTTCATGTTTCAGTCTCTGAGATCTCAGGGAAGTTTTCCCCACAGTGTCTCCCGTCCTCAAAGTCTGGTAACAAGGTGCGACCCATATTCAGGCTAATACAATAAATCAAATCTATATGATCAGAGAAAAAGTCAATAGGCCTCACTCACCGATATCTTCTATCTTCTTCAGATTCATGAACGTGTTCTTAAACCACAGTATTGTGCGAACCTGTGTTCTTAGATTGATGAACGCCAATCTCCTGGTAAATGCAAAGCGTGTGCCAGGCGGCCCTGAGGAGAGTAGGTGAAGAAAGGTCGTGACACTGAAGGGTCGTGTGCAGACTCAGACAGACGTCACAAAGACGGAATCAAAAGGCAAAAGGAACTTTTAGTGGTTGTGAAGTGGAGGAACTGCTGCAGGAAGTGAGCCGCTAACGAGCCGTTTGGTCTTAATGTAGCGTTCATTTATTTTAAAAGACCATAATGCTTTGTAAAATAACAAAAGTTATAAATGACAGAAATATTATTGTAATTTAAATAATATACCATTATATAAATGTAGAACAGAAGAAAGCGCAGACATGTTGCTCAAACATGTCAGAACTGAAATGTGTGTAAGAGACTCTTGAGTGTGTAGATTCTGTTCTGAAGAACAAATCCCATAGAAGAAAACACGTGAGAGTCTTTGTAAAAAAAAGTGGGTTTTAAGAAGAACTTTCTTCTTACGAATGGTTGGTGAATGAGGCTCAATGAGTTGAGGAATCTGATTGGACGTTTGCTGCCAACTTGCATGTGAAGCTCTGTTGTGGTGGCACTTGCTGTACCACTGAGCAGAACTCAGGTTCAGATGTTTGTTTTTGGTTTTTTCTCTCGTCTCCACGCAGACGAAGAAGCTGAAGCTGGAGCTCCAGAAAGCCGCCACCATCCCCGTCAGTCAGATCGCCAGCAACTCCGGATCGCAGCTCCGAGAAATCTTCGACAAGATCGACAAGCTGCTGTCGGGGCGGCCGGTGGTGTCGGGGGGGAAGTCCGTCTCCACCTCCCAGCATCCTCAGGGCCTGGACTTTGTCTGCTACAAACTGGCCGAGAAGTTTGTGGTGAGTTCGCCTCGTGCTGTTTGATGAAATGAAATACTTGGTGTCACCTTGGACTCTGTATTTGGCATTTTTCACTATTGACTGAGATTATATCCAAAAAGGAAAAGCATAGATAGATAGATAGATACGATTATTGATTTGTTATTTAGAGTAGCTGCAGCCCTAAATAGAAACATCTTTAAGTCTGAAATTTGATTTGTTGAAACTTATAAATGAAAGATCCACAAGAATCCTGGATTATTGCTGCAAAAATAACATTTATTTTCATTATCAATGGATCTGACTTCAGGTTTTCTTCATTAATGGTTTGGTTTATAAATAAAATGTCAGAAAATGTCAAAACAAAATGCCAGTAGCCCAAGATTATACCTTCAAATTGCTGTGTAAAACTGCATCGTAGCTTTACTTGAACGTCCCAGATTTCCTGAAGGAAACTTTACAGTTTTATGAATGTTTCTATTTGCCGAGATTATAGTGTCAAGAAATTTCAAGTTTCCAGCTTCAGCTCGTTCCCCTGCAGTCTGAAGGAGTTTACTTCTCCCAGAATCTTTGAGCTCCTCTTTAGGTTTCCCAGTGTTGGACTGAAGGTTAATGAAAGAGTTATGAAATCCTTCCCTCCTGCAACACGCAGGATTTTCACATTCTCTGTGTTCGGTTTACAACGTGTACGAACAAACAAACAAAAGCTGTTTACACACAACAAACCAAATCAAAGCTAAACTCCTCTGGACAGAAACAAGGAGAGGAGGAGGTGGCGTCTCACCACGAAGCCGCCTTCCCCATCGCCGTGGTGGCCTCTGGTGTCTGGGAGCTGCACCCTCGGGTGGGAGACCTCATCCTCGCCCACCTGCACAAGAAATGTCCGTACGCGGTCCCGCATTACCCCCCGATGAAGGACGGCACACCCGTGGAGGAATATCAGAGGTGAGCCGCTCAGACGCGTCACTTCATCCTCCTCTTTACTCAGGGTGCAGGTTCACATCGGGTGTTTTTTTTTACCTTCACTCCCTCAGGATTCTTGGTTACCGCGTCGACGACTCCGGGGTGGAAGGTCAGGACAGTTTCCTGAAGAGGATGTCTGGGATGATCCGTCTGTACGCCGCCATGATCCAGCTGCGGTGGCCGTACGGCTCCAAACAGGGGGTAAAGATAAAACAAACGTGTCGCACCTGATGATCGTTCTGAGGTTCCTGTTCGCTCAGAATCAGAAGTGACAGATGTGGAACTGAATTTAATCACAAGCTCAAGTCTGTAGAAATATTTAAATTGATCTCAGGTTTACCAGGTTTCCTCTTCAGATCTGGAAACATTAAAGTTTACTTACGTGTAGTTGTCTTTTTAAAGCAGTTCTGTTGAGAAGAATAGATCGTGTTTTTATCGCTTCTCATTTACATGTTTTGTCTCAACAAACACTCTTTTCATTTTATGCAGAACCTGCATTTTCCTCTTTTATCTTTGTCTTATTCTCATGTTTTAGCCTCGTCTGTCTTTGTCTTAAATCACAAAGTGACCTGGTGCATGTTTTCATAGTTCACTGTAATAAACGGTTCTTTGTTCTCCGTGGTGTTACAGTCGGTTCCTCACGGTCTGAACCACGGCTGGCGCTGGTTGGCTCAGATGCTCAACATGGAGCCTCTGGCCGACATCACAGCGACGCTGCTGTTCGACTTCCTGGAGGTGAGTCGGTCCTGCCGCTCTTTTTTTTTCATTTTCATTTTCATTCACATTTCATTTTATATTTTCATTTATTTCCATTGTAAAGTCTTTATTCTCACATACAGTCATTCAGACAGCGCAGGGATGTCGTCTCTCTCGCGCTCTGCTGCGACACAGTTACACTTTTGTTTCAGCCGTTTGCTTTTTGAAAAAACCTTAATTATTCTTTCTTTCTTTTATGGCTTTAAGTCGAATTTCCTTTTCAAATCTGACGCAGTGGATGACACTGGATAAATAACAGCTTATAAAGTGACTCATGAGTTGTGTTGTTCTTTCTTTCCACATAATTGTGCTTTAAGAGATTTAATCTTCTGACTTCCTGTCTTTACATCGTCTTAACATCGTCTGATAGATAGTGTGTGAGTTTGAAGTTTAGTATTCGATGATGAGGTCCGAGCTTGTGTGAGTGTGTTGCTGTGATCAGCTCAGACCCTTAAAGCCTCATTAGTGACAGTTAAATCTTATTTTACTGCTCTGCTCGCTGACGGCGGCTGTGGGTGTAACTGATGTTTGTCTTGTTGTCGTTTGTGTGTCTCCCTCAGGTTTGTGGAAACGCTCTGATGAAACAGTATCAGAGTCAGTTCTGGAAACTCATCCTGCTTCTTAAAGAGGAGTACTTCCCCAGGTAAACACACTCCACGCCTGATCCTGTAGCGGAGATCATCCTCAGCAGCAGCAGCAGCTGTGTCCAGATGTTTAACTCTAACGTGTCACTGCTTGTCTTTGGTGTCTCCAGGATTGAAGCAGTGACCAGCAGTGGACAGATGGGCTCAGTCATCAGACTCAAACAGTTTCTAGAGGTAAGAGACTCACTGCTAATGTGAGCTAATGAGCTAATGCTAATGAACACAACTGTCAGACAGTGATGAGCCAAAACACTGCGACCACAGACAGAGGAAGTGAATAATGTTGATTATCTCGTAACAACAGAGCATGTCCACGTCTGGCTTAGATTAGAAGGTAAGTGAACAGTCGGCTCTTGAAGTCTATGTTGGATACGGGAGAAATGTGCAGCGTTAAAGATCTGAAGGACTTTGACAAAGACCAGACGACTGAGTCGGAGCAGATCTGAAACGAGACGGCTCGCCGGCTGCTCCTGGTGAGAACTTACTGACTCTGGTCTGTGGAGGGAAAAACCACGGCCGGGTTTTTGATGATGTGCTAGAACAAGTCTGATCCACAGCTTCAAGGATCTGTCCCTAAAGTCTTGATGCCAGAAACCACAGGACGCCTTTAGAGGTCTTGTAGAGTCCACGCCTCAGTGGGTTTTGGCATCAAGTGGAGGAACAGCGGCACATAAAGCAGGAGTGGTCGTAATGTTCTGCCTCATCGGTGCACGGCAACACGGGGAAGCTCCTTCGACAGGATGTGTTTGTAACTGTAACTTGTTTTTGTTTCTTGTGAAAAGACGTCACTGCAGAGCCGACAGATCAGTCCGCCCAAAGGTCAGCTCACCTCCATGTTCTGGAGGTCGTGAGGGAGGAGGAGACGCGTTGGACGTTGCTGCACGACGCCGTGTTCAGGCCTGAAGACGGGAAGAGAGGGATGATGCTGAGGAAGCTCCTCTGAGGCGGGAGGGAGACTCGCTCTGTAGTCAGGAAGCTGCTGGGAAGAAACCCGCTCTGGTTTTATGTCTCTGAGCTGATCGGGCGGCAGCTGATGGATGACGACGCTCAGCTTCATTTTTAGACTCTGAGACATTTATCAGCAGCTTTGGAAAAAGTTTTAAACTGCTAACAAGATATTTATCCATAGGAAGCACTTCTGGAATAACACCGACAACGACATCCGTCCTCCAAACATCTGTTCAGATGGATTACTGGGTGTCCTTGTCCAGATGTTTCTGTCGTGCACGGATAATTTTTCTGCTTCGTAATTCGTGTGTGCAACGAAAAAGAGCCAAATTTTCTTAAATGAGAACATGCAATAATGATGCTGTCGTGGTGAGGTGTCAAGTTTTTCTGAAGTGCCTCCAGTGTTGAAGATCAGATTGTTCACAGCAGTTTGTTTCAGTTTTACTGTTAGTTTGTTGTTTCCTGTCAAGAGGGAAAATCTTTTTATTGTCATGAAATTTGGTCACTACAGGATCATCAGTCGCTGCTCAAATCACAGTTGTGTCGAATGATTTGCTATTTATTTTTGTATGAATCCACCGTGTGGAACAGAGGTTTGTGGTTTGACGAGCTGTCGTTTAGTCATCGTGAATGAAGTTACCCGAAAATTAAAAACACTGGTGGTGACGTTACAAAACTACGAGTTCTTCAGAGTTTTCAGTATTTTTCCTCAAATTGAAGCGGGAACCTGAAGACGAGTCTGAGCTTTAACATGAAATTCATTGTGATTAGTTTTGTTCCGACTAATGTTGAATAAACAGATGGAATAGATCCCAGGATGATTGTAATCTCTGTAAAAATCCATCAATGAAGCAGATGTCTGAAATAAAACCTCATCAACAGTTTACTGGACTAATGTTTCTGTATTTTTCTTTTTCACCCTTCGTTCACAAGGCCGAAAACAAATCTAATCAGTTCATCCTCGAGTCCTCCAGAATGTTTGAAGCTCCGTCGAGGCGTAACAGAGATTTCCTGCATAAGATGGACGAACAACGTGAAAACGGTGTTGTTTACTTTTGCAGCATCCTGATAACTTAAAGATAATTCACTAAATCTGATGGAAAAAGAACTAAATGTAAATTATTTTCTGTTGTGACAATAAAAACACACAACACCAGGTTTCCTTTTTTTATTTTACCTTTTTACAGCTATGCACATTGAGTCGTTTCATACAATTAATATAGGAATTAATCTGCAGCTGACAGTTTGCATATTAAGTACATTCAAACCGGCAGCTCACCAGTTCCTCTTTCATTTAATTTTCATTTGACCCCTAAAGAGAGAGAGAGCAGCAGCTGATGAGCTTATTGATTCTCCGCTGCCGGACCGATCCTGCATCACTGATCTGAAATAAATACAGAGATAACCTGATCTCCTGGAGGCCACAGCTGCTGATCTCAACAACATGGACCTGAAACAGAACGAGAGTCTGACAGAAGCTTCATATGGATGAGTCTCTCTTCACAACATGTGTTTGAAAGCTAAACTTTAATATTTAAAACGTCAAAACTAGGAGCAAAATCTGAAGAAATTCAAACAGTCGTACAGAGAGATTTTGTTTTGTTCCATAGATAATATGTGTCGAAGCTCAAACTCTGGCGGAGAACCACTCGAATAGACCATGTTTAAGATTTTTTAACAAGAAATAATTCATGAAATACAAGCAGTTCCCAAACATTTTAAACTCCAATCAAGAGCTTGAAATGTGTGAAATCACTTTCCATCTGCACAGAAACCCTGCGGGCTGTCGAACTATTAAAGACTCAACTAGTGAGATGTTTACTTGCCCTGTAACACAAAATAAATCAAACATATTTGCATGAAATTGCTGCACCAGAGACATGCTGACTTACTCCTTCACTCGTGCTGTGAGTATCTGACTTCACTCTGTTGGTTACCTGTCTTAAAGTTGCAGAAAAGACTCAGTATGTTTTTATTGATGCTGCAGCTCCAACACTTCACCAGTAGAGGTCAGTAAAAATCACAGACGCCCGTAAATGACCCACCACAAAGCAGCTTGGTCATAAAAGGGTGAAATTAAATATGTGACGACTCTTTTCATGTGTTTCTCTTTATCTACGTCAACGTCTGCAGTGAACTCGCTCTGACGAATCAACAGGTTTAAACTCGTGTGTGTGTGTGTGCGCGTGTGTCTGTGCGTGTGGAGCAGTAAATCAATCATGGCAGCGGTGACCGCTCTCAAACCGTTTCCACAATAGAAGCAGGACTTCTTGCTTCCCGATGCTGGTCACTCTTCTTTCTGGAGGTTTTATGGTTCCGTCTGTTTGAGGCTGGAGGCGCTCGGTGTTTCTCCGGCCTCCTTCACCCGTTTTCGGCCTCAGTCTCGGCCCTCGTGGTTGAGCGTTGCTCTCTCCATGCGTCTGTACCAGTATTTGACTTTGGTGTTCTCCATCATGTCGTCGAACGCCTGCAGACCCTCCATCACTCTGAGGACGCCGAACACCGCCTGCAGACGGAGGGAAACTTTCAGAGGCCGCGATAAACAAGTCGCCGTGTGCAGCACAACAAGGATGGATGGTTTAAAAACAGACTTTATCTATTGGTCCTACAGCCTCACTATTAGTGGGATAAAAAAAATCTCAGATACCAAATCAAATATATATATTTTTTTACTCTAATCTTTGATTTTATTGTGAAATTTTCTGTAATTAGAGATGAGAAGTTTAGAGGGGAAGTCACTATTTTGTGGGCCTCAAAAAGTCAGTTTTTTGTGTGTAACTTATCACATTTCAAAAAGGTTGGTTTAATCTTTGGCAATAAATTATATTTTATAAGCTTATTGTTTGATTTTGAATGTAAAATCTTAATCCGAAAAGTGACTAGTAAGTGCAGCTGTAAAATACATGTGGTGGAGTGGAAGGATAAAGTAGCAGAAAATGGAAATACTCAAGTACAAGTACCTTAAAATTGTACTTTACTAAATTGTCAATACATATGAGCATATTAACATGCATGTTAATGTATTATTAGCATGTTATGCTAACATTTAACTTGGTAAATTGTGAACATGTAACTACTGTTTCTTCTAAAACCTAACACTAGATTTTAACATGATCACAGAATGTTATGCTAACCTGCTAACAACATGGCTACTACTAAGATGTTAACATGCATATCATACATTGATGTCCCAATTAGCATTTAACATCTGGTTTACAGAGGCCAAATTAGCTTCAGCTGTAAACTCAATGATAAATAGAAAGTACGTTAGCTGGTTTATGCTAACTTGCTAACATGCTACCATGTTGAGATTGAGATGTTTTAGCAAGGTAACATCTGTACTGCTAAAAGACTAATAACCAGTAACATACTAACCTTTCTCATGTTATTTAAATTGAGCTTTTATATAAAAAGGTATAACTTCATTATTCATTTATTTTTAATCTTATTTACTACTACTTTTTTCCCCTTGTTGCTGCTATTCGTCTGTGCTGCTGTGTCAAATTTGAATTTCCTCATCTCATCTCATCTCACAGCTGAGACTGTCAGACACTGAGTTTCACAGTGAGTTGAAACAGGTGGTCAGGTTGACAGGAGGCGAAACCTGCAGGAATACAACAGGTGCGTTCCCTCACCAGGTCTGCCAGGTTAGGATGCTCTCCGCCCATGAACTTCCTCTTCTTGCCGATGGCTGCCACCCAGTCGTTGACGGCCTTGTAGAGATCCTGCCTGACGTCGTCCTGCAGGTTGTGTCTGTTGGATCAAAAGGAGAAAAATAAACGACTCTGACGTTCAAACGCCGATTTTAAAAACACAAAAACTACAAGTGACTCTGGAGCTCCAGGAGCAACGAGCAGATCAATAACGCTGGAACTGAACCGAGGATCACTGGAAGATGTTTGTTCACGTTTCACTCACCGACTCTTCAGCCTCTTGGAGATGAGGAACATGGCCGTAGCGCCGACGTATTTGGCAAAGAAACCCTCAAAGGTACCGAACTTTCCCTCACGCACGATGTAGTCGAAGGAGGCCAGGGCCTCGTTGGTGGTCCGGTACACGTTGGGAGATATAAGGTGCACGAGCCAATCGTCGGCCCACTGGCGCCACTTCATCTCCTCCCTGGAAACAGAGAAGGAAAACATCCAGAATAGAGGTCGACCTGCTGGAGCTTTCAGCCATGTCTCATGACTTTCATTGTGGAGATGCTGTGCATTATGGTCTAGGGAGCTCAGATGTGAGGAGAAGGAGCCTCGTTAGCCACATGGAAACCACCCTGTGTGTGAGGAGCAGGTGTGTGTGAGGAGCAGAGGTGTGTGTGAGGAGCAGAGGTGTGTGAGCAGCAGAGGTGTGTGAGGAGCAGAGGTGTGTGTGAGCAGCAGGTGTGTGTGAGGAGCAGAGGTGTGTGAGGAGCAGAGGTGTGTGAGCAGCAGAGGTGTGTGAGGAGCAGGTGTGTGTGAGGAGCAGAGGTGTGGGAGGAGCAGAGGTGTGTGAGGAGCAGAGGTGTGTGAGCAGCAGAGGTGTGTGAGGAGCAGGTGTGTGTGAGGAGCAGAGGTGTGGGAGGAGCAGAGGTGTGTGAGGAGCAGAGGTGTGTGAGCAGCAGAGGTGTGTGAGGAGCAGGTGTGTGTGAGGAGCAGGTGTGTGTGAGCAGCAGGGGTGGACTTACTTCTGCATCCCCTTCTCGGGGTAAACCACGGCGGTCTCGTCTTCGCTCAGCATCAGCCAGTACTTGTTGGCGTACTCCGTCACCTGCTTCCCGCTATCGTTCACAGACTTCATCTCCGGGTAACAGCGGATGATGTCAGACACACTTTTCTCCCTGGAAAACAAACGTCAACTGATCAATTAATCAACTAATCGTTGCAGCTCTTCTGTTAACGACATCACTGAGACAACCTGTTACAGTAGAAAAACAATAGAAGCATGTTTCATGTTCTTCCCTCACAATCAACTTCATTTTACTTTAAGGCTTTTAGTGGCAGGATATTTAATGATCATTATAATAATTATCAAGAAAAAAACAAATATTCACGTCTCATCAAACAAACACTTAAAAGGAAGCTACAACTCACTTGTTGACTAAAAAAGACCTGAGGGAGCTGATGATGACGGAGGAGTCGTTCAGTTGCTGCAACAGAGGAGAGAAAAATCAAAACGACGTCAAGGAGGGAAGAATAAAATAATGACATGGTTTCTTTTCTGTTTTCTGTGTTCGTTAACGCTGGTTTAGATGTATGAGGTGGTGACAACTTATATATCTGTTATTGATTAATCTATTGATGATTAACTGTGAAATATGATCCAATTTCCCAGAGCTCAAATATTTTATTTTGTCTATTAAAAAGTCGAGTTTAAAATCACAAAAGACCAGAAACCAGAAAACATTCACATCTGAGAAACAGAAACGAATTTGTACTTACTTCCTTTAATAAAAGGACTTAAAACGATCAAATAGTTGACAATTATTTTGCTGTAGACGTGCTGAGATCAGACTGTCTTACCACGTCGCTGTCCACCATCAGGATGGGCACCTTCCTGTAGGCCGACCACTTGATCTCCTGCCTCATCACCGGGTTCACCTCCACGATCTCGTACGGCAAGCCGTAGAAGTCCAGGAACGCTCGCACCTTGCTGCAGAACGGGCAGGTCTTGTACTGGTACAGGGTCAACTTCGGACCTCCACCTGGAGCCTGGAACCAGATTCAGAATCAAGGGCAAGTTCACCTTTCACCTTTCAGCTCACTAATGACCTGAACCATGTCGCCATGACAACACTGGAGTGGCTTCAGGACGAGTCTGACTGTCCTTGAGCGGTCGAGCCAAAGCCCAGACTTAAACCCCACAGAACATCTGTGCAGAGACCTGAAGTTTGATCTGCCAGAAAGAAATTTTTCTGTTTATATTTTCACATTTATTTCCCTGTTCTTTAACAGATGTAATCAGGTTTTTCTGGCTCTCCTTGGACTCCAGAGACTGGATGAAGATTTTAAGTCTGAATCATTTCTATTTTCCAAACGTACAAACTAATGTTGACAGAAGTCTCAGGTGTTCTGCACATTTTAAATGCTGCAAACTGCCCTCATGCTGGATTCATTCATTCACCTTAGAGACTTTAAAGATTATTATGTGATGTGTTCACTGACCCTTGTAATAACTTTTGTCTCTTAAAAATCAGACAGCAGCAGCAGCTCAAGTTCAGATCAGTGACCCTCTGCACATGTGAACTTAGAGAACTGCCGTCAATGAGAGAGTGACACTGGAGATCAGTGGGACGCAGCTCACCTGGATGACGTGCAGGTGAACTGAACGGACTCACCTTGGTCTCCTCCTCGGCCAGGTGCTGCTGCACAGAGAACTTCAGGGTCTGATACAGTCCCAGACCTCCACCGAGCAGGAAGGCGCAGCCCAGCGCCCTGCCTCCTCCTCCTCCTGCCCGCAGAGAGGAGAGCAGCTTGGACCGGACCCCGGTGCCGCCGGTACCGTACGCCCTCCTGGACCCATGCGCGCCCACATTCCCCACCAGGTATGAGACGATACCGGGCCGGCGGGCGGCGGGAGACTCCAGAAAAGACCAGCCGACCTTACCCAGTGTTCTGGCGCAGGCGGCTGCCATGTTGGGTTTACATAAAGTCCCACAATGCATCGCGAAGAAGGAGAGTAAAGGGGCGCATTTGCCCTGAGTTGAATCTGTCAGGCTGTGTGACGCCCCCAGCGGCGTGCAAAGGCAAAATCTGGGGAGTGGACAAGAACTGTAGCATGATGGAACCTATGGAAGTTTATAATCATGTATGGAATAGTGAACTGACAAATTCATCATAAAGACATGCAAAATAGCTACAAAAAGAAGTATTATGACCATAAAAGATGCAAAATGAAGACGATTAAATGCAAAAATGACCCTGAAGAAATTAAATAAAATATAATATAAAAAGAGTAGAAACAGAGTAAGTGGTCGCAAAGAAATGTAAATTAACCACAAAAGAACACAAAATGATCCCAAAGTGCCATAAAACAACCACAGAGAGACGAAAAATGACCATAAAATAATGTAAAACAACCGCAAACACAAAATGACCACAACTACAGCATGCATATATATATATCATTGTCTCTGCTCTCTTATGATTATATTCAACTTTTACAGCTAAAAATAAACCTTTTTCTCAAACATAAATACAAGCCACAGCTTGTTTTTAAATGTATTTGACAAGACTCAGTTGGAAGACACTTTCAATTAAATCAAAGTTTCAGTTCTTTGTTTGAGAATTATATTAGAAAAGACAAATTTGATACTTGTTTGTTCTGTATACACTGTAAAAAAAACGGTCAAATGACTGGCAGACAAACACAAACCGTAAAATTAAAGTAAAATATCCTTATTCAAATAAAGTGTAAAAACAATAAATTACGGAAAGTTTCATTAATATTCATACAGAGAAAAACTGTTATTATTCCTAGTTTATTATGATCAAACACCTTCAATAAAGTGAAACCACTCAAGTTTCAGATTTTTCCCAAATTATTATGATCAAACACCATCAATAAAGTGACGCCCCTAAAGTTTCTGCAGAGAAACTTTTTCCTAATAACAAAATTAAGTGTCAATCAATTAAATGTTAACACATGCTTGATATTGTAAAATAAACCTTTCGTTTTGGAAGACAAAGTAAAACATGCTGTGTAAAACAGATTAAAATCATCTCAAACTTCAACTTGCAGTATTTGTGTTAACATTTAATCTTTAAGTATGTAAAGTAATGTTAAAAACCTGTAGAAGCAAAATCTAAATAGTTCACAAATAGTTCTTCAGAACATAGCAACAATAGGAAAATATATATTTTTTAAAAAGAAAGAAATTTGTGTATTTCGATTTATTTGTAGGCTATTTCATTTTTGACCAATTAGGTTAAATATTGTTTTTCGTTATGTGTTTATGGTCTGACTCGCTAGTTTGAAGTTTTCTTCAATTCAACATGATGTTCATTTTTCAAATTATGGTCCTATTTAAAGGAAAATAGACGTTAAAGCAGAGTGGGTCTATGACGTGGCTACCACGTCATTGACACACAGGGGGACCTGCCTGTTAATCCGGATATGATATCAGAGCGATGTGTCGGACATTTGACTTGTCATTGTGTTTTTAGTTCATCAAAGTTAGCTCCAACATGTTGTTTGCCTTCAAATGTCTTGTTCTACGTTCAGTTGTTCTGAAAGACACTCGGAGGGAGTCGGCGGTTCATTTTTTCCGGTAAGTACATTTTGTTTTAAGCCTGTTTCTTTGCTAGCCAAAATTAGCATCCCTGTTAATATCACAGTTCAGGTGAAGATGCACCTTGCTAACCAAGCTAGCCAGCTAGTGCTAACGTTAGCTGATAACTTAGCGATTGCTATGCTAACGGTACCTGGCCCCACTGGGCTGATAACCTGTGTCAACCTGGGTTAGCCCGTGGAGGTGTTCAGCCAAAGCCCAATAAAAAGGTGAATTTAATCGAAGTTAATCTAACAACGTTTGGTTTGTGTTTCTCCACATGTGACCCAGTTTAAGTGATCTGCGTTCGTGTAATGCGCAGCGTTAATGTTGGTTAATACATTGTCCATGTGAGCCAGAAACCAACATGGCGGCAGTGAACTGACACCTGGCTCTGTGAGCAGTCCTCAGTCAGTAAGTGAAATACTCGATGAGTAAAATCTTCTTTACTTGCAGAAATCAACTGCCTGGTACTGGATGTGAGTCCCACATTGTTGGAGGTTTTACTTTCTCAGCAAAGTGGTTCCACAAAGGGTTTATATCTTGATGCTTCATGTGAACAGTGCAACATCTACTGGCCAGAATGCAAAATGGGCAAATACAAATGTTTGTGCATCACAAAAATGTAAGTATAAAGGAAAACATGATTGTATTTTATAATCTAAGCATAGATTTATATACTGTAAAAGCAAATCAAATTGTTTTGTATGCATCAAATGTGTCAATATCAGTCAAGTTAAGCCAATGTCTTTGTTTTAACTTTAGTGTCAAAACTATAAGTTAGTTTGCAAATTGTTAGTATGGACATTAACCTTATAATAACAAGCTACATTTTTAATTACAGATAATTACTGTCATTTTACACAGATTTGTATGTAATTAAAGAAAGCAGAAAAAATACTATATGAATAATACAGTATTTTTCTTGACAAAAAATGGGAAGTAAATGTAATGTAAAATCTATAAAATGTGAGAACATTACAAAATACAGAAAATATCCATCATATATTCCCAGACCCAAAGGATTTTCACCAATTCACAATTGATTTATTATTCCATTACAGAAAAGTAAGGCCCTGATTTTTGGGGGTCTTGCTGTTCAAAATGCCATTACATCAACTGCACAATTCAGCTAGGAATAGTGTTTATAACCATTTGTTATGAAGTACTTACATACACACATAATACAATAATATAATATGTACAATTAGATATTTAAGTATAACAAAAAGATTATCAGCAGTTAGCAGTTTATTAGGTACACTTGCCTAAAACCTAGCTATTAACTAGCACTCTAATAGACATTTGTGGTAATTTTGTTACATCGTCGTTACATAATAATATAAACTGTAGGTCTCATCTTTCAAAAGTTCATTTTGTGGTATAAAGTACCAAAACGATTCAAATTTTTTATCCATTTTAAACTCAAGATATAAGTAACATCTACAGCCCCCCTTCCCCTCTTGGACCTGCTAAAATTATTTCATCAAGTGATGGTGTTTGGGTTTTTTTCCAAATTAAATAACGTGTTATTCATTTCCGTGCAAATACACTGTTGAACATCGCTGGGATGCGTTCAAAAGCGTCCGATTTGCCTCTGTGTCGTGCTTCGTGTGGTGCGTTCAGGAGCGTCGTTGTTCTGAGGCGCTTTTATTCTCCCCACCGCAGCAGCGGTAGCGGTAGCGGTGGCGGTAGCGGCGGCGGCAGCGTCTTGTCTTGGTGAAAGCGGAGTTTCCCTCAGCCAGCAGCAGCAGCAGCATCATCCATTTCAGCATCAGTGTTACAGTGGTCAAATCACCACATCCCCCCCCCCCGGACTCTCAGCTCTTCACTGGGATGTCGTCGTCGAGTATCTGGAGGGAGGATTCGGTCGGGAGAGCCGATGCTAGAGGACACCTTTCCGCTGTATTTCTTCGAGCGTGACTGGAAGGGAGAGGAGCGGCGATGGATGAAGGCAGGAGGGGACAAATAAAATTTTGATAAACGCTGGGTTTAGCTGGCTAACGCTAGCACGCTAACGTTAGCTAGCCCTCAGCCTCCCCCGTCACCCCCCTTTTCCCCGTTCAGTGACCGATGTGGTGTTTTCCTCCATGAATAAAAAACACTCCTTAATGCCTTTTTATATTCATGTCGAGACATGCTGGAGTCAGCGAGGACATTTCTCTCAAGGATAAAGCACCGTAGCTGTCTACTAGCCTCCCAACGTTAACGCTAGCTAGCCGTGAGCATCGTTAACCGTTATCTTTTTTTTTTCTACCGTTATTATTTTTTTTCTCGCTCATCTGAAGAACAAGATGCTGGCAGAGGAGGAGTGTGTCTAACCGTGAACCTGAACTCGCATGGATACACACTCCATGAAGGTCATGATACTGAGAGAATGATCATGCTGGAAAAACAGGTAAGAAATTGGCACACATTTACATGCACACACACCTGGGCTCATTTGCATATCGGTCACTGTAGGTGTTAATTATCAGTATCACACCGCCTCTCTCTCTCTCTCTCTCTCTCTCTCTCACAGTGTGTGTCTGATAAGACTTGGATCCGTGTAGTGATTCTGCAGGTGATCAATACCTTTGTAATGATGACCCTGCTGCACATATTTCCCCTCATTATAACCGTCCTTCCAGCTCTCTCTCTCTTTCTCTGCCCTGCTTAAAGTCAACCTCTCTCGACCAGTGTACCACCAGCTGCTTTACAAAGAAAAAGTATGAAATATGTCAGAAAATGGTAGAAAATGTCGTCAAATTGTTTTAAGGAATAAGAGAATTTTGTGCTCCACAGTAATCTATCACAATTACTATTAATAAATTGATTAACTATTTGACTTATTTATCAAACATTAGCTGGTTTGGATTTATCCAATATTTCTCTAATTAAAATTGAATGATTTTTTTATTTCATTTTGATAATCTTTGTCATTAGGGCTGTGGCAGCTTGTGTCTGGTGAATTTGTGCAGTAACTGCAGTGATTTATACCTTTCTTTAAATGACTCTGGTGCTCATATTTCACCCTCATTATGACCTTTACAACCTTCCTCCCAGCTCTCTCTCTCTCTTTCTTGGCCCCGCTTAAAGACGACCTCTCTCACCCTGCTGTCAGAAAATAGGGGAAATGCCAGTGGTGGAAAGTCAGACAAGTCAAAGTTGATTTAAAGTGCATTATCACACACGAGTGTCTCAACACACTTTACACCAGGAAACGGTAACGAAATAGCAAACTAACTAACTATAAAAGTGCAAATGATAATTTAATAGAAAAAACATAAATAAAATAAAATAGGTAGAGATAAAAAATTCAAGAGGAAATGGTGAATATTCACTGGATCCAGCTTCTCAAAAGTGAGGATTTGATGCTTTTTGGGTT